TCAGCTGCAAACGCTAAGGTTTTTTTTTTTACTTTGTCAACCCAGAGTTGTTTTTGTTTTTGAGCTGTAATTTTACTCTAAGAGTTGCTTTTCTTTCTGCAGACGCACATGTATTCTTTGGGGATGACTTTATTCTGGGGTGCAGACTATGAGATTCCCCAGAGTCAGGTAAAATGTACCCACAAACCTTTTCTTCTTGAGGTAAAACCATGAAACCATTGTCAGTGTAAAGGCAAGTGTTAAAGGTTGGAAGTTTGTTTATGAATTTCAGCCCATCTAAAAATGTACATTCATTCTGGATATATATATATTTTTTTTCCTCATTTAACATTTCAAGTAGTGTGTCATATACTGAACACATTATTAGAGGTTTTTTACTTGTAAATCAAATTATCTTTTTGAGTTGGTGCTCTGACTCTGACTTGGACTTTCTTCCTGGCAGTTCACAGTGATTTAATGTTTGATACTTTAAACAGTGTTAAATATTTTTGCACCACACAAATATCTACAAAACAAACAGTAAGGATAAGGAGGACTTGTGACTAAAGGCAGTGTGGTATACACTTAATTTTTTTAATTATTACACAATATTAGTGTTTTTATCATGTGAATTATTATAGCCACCCTATTGAGATCCTTCTTCTCTTCCCATGTTTTTCAGCATCTAACTCGTCCAGAATTTTTTTTCACTTTCCACAATTCACATATCAGTTTTTGGTATTTGAGCAATTTGTAGTTTTTGAAATATTTAGCTTTTTTTTTTTGCCATTTTTTTTTTCCATTGAAATTGAAGCTGTCTTCATATTCAAACATTTTGGGCTGTTCACATTTTTCTGCTCACTTTTTGTTCTGTTTCTGCTTTTTTCAGCTTTTTTTGCCAGTTGTATCTTCTTTCAGCTCCTTTTTACTAATTCAGCCTTTTTCTGCCTTTACAGCTACTTTTAGCTATTTTCTGCTAACTTTAGCTTTTTTCCTGTTACTTTTCAGCTAATTTCATTATTTTCTTGCTCATTTAATTTTCTTTCTGCTTTCTTTTCTAATGTTCTCTGATTTTCAGTCATGTTTTGCAGTTTACTTGTTTGTTCGCCTTTCAGCTTATGCTTTCTACTCCTTTCTATTGATTTATTTCAAGTAGGCTTCAGCTCGTCCATCAGTTATAACAGTTCCACTGCATTTTTGCAGAACATGCAAATTCAGTATAGTTTTTTTGGGGGATTTTTTTTTTTTTACAGCTAAATGCCTCGTGAGCAGATGTCAGATAATGCTTTGAATTGCCGCTAGTTCAAAAGACTTGATATGTAGCTGATCATCTCTTCTTGGTGAGAAAATGTTTAAGATTGGAATGCACTCGGGAATGTTTCTGAATAAGGAAATGAACCGGTTATTCCAAGCATCTTCACAAAATCAAGCAGGGGCTAAACAAGTTCACACTGCATGAGCACATAATGAAAGTGTCTCCTACAGTTCATGACTAAAGTTTGCTATTTGCTTCAATTGAGGGCTAAGATTTTATTTAGTTTAAAGGAAAATGCATTTGTCGTTGAACATAGCTTTTGGAAGACGTTAAAACAATTATACGTTATATTCAGATAAAATAAAACTAATTCAGCTCCCATTAATGTTGCTTCATCCCGTTTTCATGCAGCCTATGAAGCTGGGGGAGCACCTAAACAGTCTACTCCTCAACATGTGTGATGATGTTACAGTAAGTCGAATGTCGCTGCGCACGGTGCTGGACATCAGCAGCAAACGCATCAGAAACTCCAACTGTGACCCTCCCTTCTCCTACGTCAGAAAACTGGTTCGGCTGGTGCTTGGCAGCCTCTCTCAGGTAAACAGTGTAATTAAAAAACTTAAGTGCAACATTGGCTTTCTGTTAATTTAATGTGCCTGCTGCTTATTAGGAATATGTCACTGCCAGTGTTCTTATGCACAAAGTATCCAACTTGTGTGCTTCGTTAAGAGCACAGAAAGGCTTTGCAATTACGCAACAGATAATGGGGTTTTTGTTGACATTACAGTTCAGGAGCTATTACTGTCAGAAAGAAATACTTCTTTATTTTTTTATTTAGTTGAACTTTTCACTTTTGACTGTTTCTAAACTCTTGCAATTATTTGTTTTAGCTGGATGGTCTGGTGACAGATAGAGAGTCCCTTCCAGAGCGAAGTAAGGAGATTCGAGAAAGATTGAGGGGCAAAGGTTTGCCATCTGGTAAGATGAGCTGCACTAACGTACACAATGGATTTCCACAATTGCTTTCTCCCCCTCTCCTAGACCTTTCTGCAACTTTTGACCTTGTAAACCATGAGATCCTACGATCTTTATTCCTGAAACTGAGTCATGCTTCACTTGGCCTTCCGTCAAGGTGCCATTCTTGCTTTTCTTTCCTTTATTGCTTTGCTTCTCCTCACAATATACCCACAGGAGATTAACTCTCGACTGTAAAATGTGGTGGTAGGGTTGCAATAAATGTCTACACTACAGGACCTTGTGTAAAACTGTTGCTTTCGCTTTTATGATTTTAGAATTTCAGTGTGTGCTTCTGTTTCTGTGAAGAAATCGGTGCCGAGCTTGAACAAAACCACCATGACGAGAAGCAGATGAAAAGCAACACTAGTCGAGACTATGAAGCCGTACCTGTTACCAGCATACTTTCTGTCGTCCTACTACAATTCCACATTGTTTCCCACGCTGATTTGCTGGACATTTTTTTAGAGGGCTGGGTGGAAATGTTTTTTTCCGCGAGAAGTTAGAAGTGAATGCTTTAGACACTTATGTTCTCATCTGCTCTGTCACATCTGTTAATGAGTTCAAGGCAACATTGCAACAACATTGCAGTGTTGAATAAACTGCTTTACTCAATGAAAGCTTGAATGTTCCTCACTTTTGAGTTGTAAGTATGTAAACTTTGTAAATGCCCTCCACGGCTTTTAAACCATTTAACTCAACAATTTTTCGGCTTTAGTTTTGGGAAATAAAAAAAAAATATGCAAGACAAAACACACCATAACCTCGGATTCGGATTAAATTCAGGAAAATATGACTAAACTTTCCCAGTGGTCTCTGAAAGAACTCAGGCATTTCCCCAGGCCAGGAGAAAGGGAACAGAGCACAGCCATAGTGGTTATCCTGATTATGTAAGCGTTGCTTTGGATTTATTAGATGCATATTTTTAAGTCACCAGTGAAGCGGCTGTTTTTTGTTTTTTTTTGTATCAGTTCTTTGTTGCGTACCAGGAATCCCTAAGGGAAACTACGAGATGAAAGATAAAGAAGGAAACTTCATGCAGAGTATAAATCAGTTCCCAATCATTTTTTTTTTTCCCCCAAGGGGTATTCCTGTATCCCAATAGTATAAGATGTAGTTACTGCTCAGATCTTTTCTTTTTTCTCTAATTCTTTCCTCAAATCTGTACTGAAAGTTATCTAAATCTGAAGTTTCATTTAGTAGCAACATCATATTAGTAGTACTAAAAGTTTGTGTTGTCAACAAACATCCGAAGAGTTTACTCCACCTTCAAAATTGTGGCTGCATGAAAAAGCTTCTTTCCTTTTATACAATTAGGAATAAATTGAGAAAAAGTATGGCATACTTCTAAAAATGTTTTTGCCCTTTTATGCAATTTAGTTCCCTAAGCTACTGGAACTGTCTTTGATGTGTTTATGAGTTGCATATGCTTTCTAGATGAAACCAACACGTGCAGCATTTTTATAGGCTCTAATGTCGTCTTTTATAGGGCTTAATGTTTTGTTCTGCTCTAATCTTGCTTTTCCTCTTTTTTTTATGCGCATTGTTACACTCCTACTTTTTCTTTTCTCTGAAAGTGATTTTGAAATGTGACTTGTCTGGAAAAATTGCTTTTTCAGTTTTAAAATATTTCTTATTATAGGCAGATATCCACTAACGGTGAAAGGCAGACATTTTTTTAAATAATTGGCCTAAAGATTTGAGAGTTCAAAATTTTTGTTCTTTCAGAGTTTACCATTTTAAATACTGGATGTTTGTGTGTCTGGTTGTAGTTTAATAAAATGTCCTTTCTTTTTCAGGGAGGAGTGCCGCCCCCAGGGTTCTGGGTCGCTACAGAGCCAAAATTCAGGAACAAACGTCTCTTAACCGGGGCCTCAGTCGGTCTATGGGTGCACTGCCAATCCAGGATATGCTGAAGGGGGATGAGGGTGCTGTCCCACAATCCCTGTCTGATTATCAGACTAACTCTGAATCCTCCACAGAATTCTACTCCAGGACGCCCTCACTGCAGCACGAGCTTTCCTATCCCTATATGCACCCTCTTTACCTCCAGATGAAGGGCCAGCCTGTGGAATTGGACCGTAGGTCTTTGCCCTTCTTAAGTGGGGACCGGGGGCCAAGTCAGCCCAGAAAGACCTGGGCTTCCTCTGTGGATTTGGCTCGCATTGATCCAGAAGCACTTCGTTTTGGGGCTTTGGAGGATGCTCGTAGAGGCAGCAGTGCCTTAAGTACTCGCTCTGTAGGCAGACACAAAATGCCTTTGTCAACACCCAAGGAGTTGGACTATGGGTTCTCTGAGTTTGGTGGGCTGCAGAATAGGAGACCTCATAACTTCTCAGCCCTGTCTGTTGGCTCTGGACTTCCTGATGCTTATGACAGGGTGAAAGAAAGACAAAGAAAACTTGAGGCGCTGCAACAAGCAGTTGATGGTGAGTAATAAAATCTTCTCTTCACTTTTGCTTATACTTCGTGGGTTGTTATGGGGCTATGAATATTAAGCTAGCACACAGTTTCATTTTACAATTATATTTAAAATCAATTTGATTCAACCTGAATGTTGGCTTATAAATATCAAAAGGGGTCTAAAGTATGTGTCCATACAGATTTTTTTTTTTTTTTACTTTACATCGTTAATTGTTTTAAACCCTTGAACCAGATAAAATTCAACTACTGTCAAATAAAATTATCAGGTTCATACTACAACAATATTTCTAAACCCCAAAAAACAATAAATGGAAAAATTATTTTCATTCATTCAACCTTTATTTAGACAGTTTAATCCCATTGAGCCTCGGGAACTCTTTTACAAGAGAGACCTGATTTCAACAAAGAATGATGACAACAACGGACAACAGCAACAGACAAATATAAAAGAGGCATACAGATTTATTTTTTATTTTTTTACAAATTAAAATAAGATGGCAAAGAAGTAGCAAAAACAGCCAGATTATAAGGTGAATGTAGAAAACTAAAAACAGGAACAAATTAAAAATAATACTTCTAATAACTGAAATAAATTGCATGTGTTACAGCTGTCTTTTTTTGTAGAAAACGCACTTATACGGTAAATATTTTAAAAATGGATCACCTGATAAATGCATACGTTGTTACAGTACAGGTACATTTCTCTAAGCTACAGCATGTCTTTGTACGAAGTATCTGGAATGCAGACAAACCGATAATGGTCGAGTGTGAGACGTTTAGCTGAAGAAGTGCAGAATATACTATAATAACTGTCAAGATGTCCAGCTTTTAGCAATTTTAACAATTCAATACTTTGAAAGAAAGAGTCCCAAACTTTTACCATTGTTTTTGTACAGTGGAGGCTTCTCTGTAATGACATGAGCTCGTCTATTGAAAATCCACTGTCATGGTCACTTGTGCTGTTTAGGCTTAGAAAATAAGATGAAACTGGTAATGGATGTTTTGTTTTGTTTTTCCAAAGTACTAGATGTTTGTTTGTGGATTCGTCTCGTCTTGGACAATAGAATCCAAAGTGCAGTCAGACACTTTTGCTGAAGATGGGGCTGTCTGTATTTCTTGTTAAATTTTATTGTTGATCAATTTTCCAACACCTCATTAGTCAAATTCTTGTTTTCAGCTCTGATTTTGTAACTATTCTGCCGTTTAATTTTGAAAGTCTCATCTTAGTGTGATTTATTCTTTCTGATAAAGACGGGTACTTTTTGCTTTTGTTGGCTATTGATATTTATTTATCACACACAAACAGCTTTTCTAACAGATGGTAATACATAAAATCTAATTACACAACGTGTTTTCACAGCTTCGTGGAGACTGCAGTCAAGCATCTCTTATCACACTTAACAACAGCTTTGTCATTAGAATTGCACAATATTGTTCTGAGAGATGTTAGTTTGGTTTGTAATTTATGTTTCGTACAGAATGGGACATTATTAGAACACATCATGACAACAGCATTTTAAGAAATAACAATGGTCTTATGTCAATGGCAGCCCATAAATCAAAACTGAAAACTTCCTGTTCCATGCACAAAAAGTTTGGTTGGTCGTCGTTGTAGTAGGACGTAAATATCAAAATGACTGTAATTAAAGCACAAAAAGTAGGAAGGTTTAAAGAGAAATGGCTAACCCGGTGGTATGATGGGAGCAGCCAGGTACTGGGACTCGGTACCAGTTGTGTGTTTGAGTGCGTGGGTTGGGAGCTGGGTGCTGGCTGAAATGAACCGTTGTTGGTGTTGGCTGGCCAGTCGTGTTTAAACAGAGTGAATGAGTCACTGGCCCAGAAGTTGCCAAATGGCTGATTGTAACTACAGACCCATTTCTAGCCTGCTGTTAATTGTCACACATGTTTACATGCACAGCTGTTTTTTTTTTTTACTTATCTGTGTGTATGTATGAGGTTAAAGAAGTTTGTACAGTCACAAACAGAATACAACACAGTTATTAGTCGACTTCTAGAACTTTATGCCATTTGCATTCTTGGTGAAATCTCCATTGGCATACTACTTTTATCTCAGGTGGCCATGTGGGTTTTCAGTCTACCTGGAGACCGTGGCGAAGCTTGGTTGGCTTCATACAATAAACCACTGTCTGCTATATTTGCCTCCTTTTGCTGTTCTCCCAAACTCCCCCCTCTACATCTGTTTCCAGCCCCTTTGCTTCGCTGGCAGCTATTTTTAATGCTGAGCCAGCCACCAACCAAGCATAATTTTCTTCAACAGTGACTTTTGAAACCCCAGAAGGTCTTGTCTTTTTTCCTCCCCTTCCTGACTGCTCTTTACTGCATGCCATTTGAGGCTTTTTGAAATCATACAAAATACAGGATCCGAGTTCTGCGTCAAACACTATCAAGATTTTTACATGCAGAGGGTTCCCAGTACACACTGTATTATAGTACAACTTTAAAATGTTGAATGTACTGACACAAAACACCAGTGATTTAAAATGAGAAATGTCCACTTTCAGTGTCTTTCTTCGTTTTTTATATAACGACTCGAAGGTGAGACAAAAAGGCAAAGCAAATGACTGCAGATACACAAAAACAAAGTCAAATCAACTCAACCATGTATTTTTATAGCATCCCACATTTGTTTTGTTTGGGTATTGTTGGGTTCTGTTTAAGCACACACATTTTGAAGAGAAATAACTTGCAAGAGATCTCCCTTTTTTCTTTTTTCTCCTACTTGGTTATATTTTTTTCTTGCAGGAATGTGATGGTAGAGCAAGTCTCGGGTTCTGCAGAGTCACACGCTACTTGTTTTTCACTGTATTTTCAAATGTTCATGTCACATACATGCCTGTGTTTGCAGGGGCATGTTGCTACCTAGTCACCTTCATCTCATCCTGCAACTTTGTAGTTTCTCTTTGTGCTTCAGTCTTCAATGAGTAGAAACGTTCCTCGTACACCTAGAAGCTGTAATTGGAGTCATGCGTAGGGGATGAGGGAATTCCTAACGTTATTGGACTTTTCCGGCTCTTGGCAGCGGGTCATGCGGCTTTGGGGCTCAGGCAGTTTCATTATGAAAAACCGTAAAGGAGAGTTTGGCTTAAGTTGAATGAGAGCTGCTTTTTGTTTGTTGTAAAAGCATAGTTGCACATTTTTGATTAGCATTTTCTACAGACCTTGTTTTGTGCAGAGGTTACTATATTGTATTTTTCTGAAATAAGCATGCTTATGTCATTTTCAACAATACAATGTTTTTGTTTCTTATGTGTCATTCTAAAATGGTTGGAAAGAAATTGTGAAATAATTTAATGTGAGTCAGCGCTGCCTGCTGTAGACTGTGTGTATAATTATTCTCAGAAACTCCCGTTTTCTCTGCAGTCCAAATCTAATAGTTTGAGTGAAACGGTTAATTGCTGAGAAACACTGGTTCCCAGAGATTGGTGAGTCATCTAGGACCGAGTCTTGTCTCATCCCTATAATCAGATGAAAACCCATTTTCTCCTTTCTCTCTTTTTCCACTTTCAGAAAAAATATCTTACATGCTGAAGTTTGAGTTTTCCATTTATTTGTTTGTATACAAAAAGAAAAGTAAAATGTTCTTTTCTAATTAATTTTGCTTTTCTGAATCCCCAATTCTGACAAAGTTGGGAGGTTGTGTAAAATGTAAATAAATACAGAAAGCAATTGTTTACAAATCTCGTAAATCTATATTTTTTTCACAAAAGAACACAATAAGTATGTGAGTTATTATACTAGAGAAATGGCATATCCTGCAAAAATGTAGTGTGAATGCTGATTGGTGAATGATTTTGATAAAAGCTGCTTAACATGCTAGTTTACTTGAAATACATCAAAAGCTAAAAAGTCAGACTTTTTTTTCTGATGTAGGTTTTTCAGCTGCTTAACATTCAGTTTTCTTGGCCAGATGTCTATTTCATGATACAACAAATGTTTTTATTGCTGAGAAGTCTGGACTGCAAGCCAATCAGTTCAGCACAGTCTCCTTCTATGAAGCATTACTGTTGTAATGGATGCAGTTTGTGTTTTAACGTTGCCTTGCTGAAATGTGCAAGGCCTTCCCTGAAAGACGTCCTCTGGATGGTAGCATATGTTGTTCTAAAACCTGTATAAACATTTCTGCATTGATGGTGCCTTCCTAGATGTGTAAACTATGCATGTCTTTGACACTGATGAACCCCCATACCATCAGTGAAGTAGACTTTTGAACTGTGCACTGATGACAGGCCCATGGTCCCCTTTATATTTTAATATGAGGGACAAGGCATCTGTGATTTGAAAAACAGTTTCAAATTTCAATTGGTCTGAGCACAGATCAGTTTTTCATTTTGCTACAGCCTATTTTCAATTATCTTTGGCCCAGAGAAAATGGGAATATTTATGGAAGATTTCACAAATGGCTTATTTGCGTGATAGAGCTTTATCCAGCATTTGTTGACGTCACAGTGAACTGCATTTACAGACATTGTTTGGTGGAAGTGTTCCCGAGTCCATTTAGTGATGTTTATAACAGAATCAGATCAGTTTTAATGCTGCGGCATCCAGTATTGACTTTCATTCTTGTCCTTTGCACACATACATTTGTCTCCAGATGTTTTTAATATTATGAATTGCAGATGATGAGATGTTCGAAGGCTTCCTAATTTTTTTTATTCCAAAATTCAAATGTTCCACAACTTTTAAACTAGGGATGCACGATATTATCGGCATGGTATCGGTATCGGCCGATATTAGCGTTAAAGTTAAATATGGGACATCGGCCATTCCATCAAAATAACTCACTGATATAAAAGACGCTGTTTTTGTATGACAACCCAGTGACAAGGATGCCTGCAGCGGCAGCACAACGTGATGACGTCACGCATGCCTTCCTGATCTGATCATGGCGGAGAGGAAGTCAAAATGTCGGCGGCGTGGAAGTTTTTTTTCATCGAGGATATTGGATTCCGAAGATCTTTGGACTACGTTGAGCCTCGCTACATAGTCTCCAGTCGGAGATATTTTTCCGACATAGCCTTACCCAAGATACAAGCAGTCATTTCCGACATCATTGAGAAGCTAATAGCTGATAGCACTTGGGTGACTTTTACCACAGACATTTGGACGTCAAGTGTTAGCACCGTTAGCATGATTAGTCTTACAGCACAATGAATAGACAAAAACTTTGAACTTATAAAGTCTGTCCTTCATGCACAAGAATGCAGAGGATCCCACACTGCAGCTAGGAACCTGGAACAAGCCTCCACAAGTGAGACAGCATTGCAGGTGACTAATGCTAATAAATAACATTTAACACTTTTCATTTAATATAAGTTAAAGTGCTATGCATATCATATGGCTTTTACTGAATATATGTCACCAGCTCTTACAGCTGTTACACAATTTTTTAGCAAATAAGCCTAAATAAGAGGCTATGTTCTGACAAAGGAAAGTATATTAAAAATATCGGTATCGGCCAAATAAGTTTTAACATATTGGATATCGGCCAAAAATCCAATAGCTTGCATCCCTATTTTAAACATTTTTTTTTGCATACAGGTGAATCTCTTCCCATATTTACTTCAGAGATTCAGCTTCTAAAACACTCCTTTTATATCCTGATGCATGCTCAATCCAGGTAAATAAATCCAAAAAAGTTAAGTCCGGTCATCTGGACGGATTCTTGGTTGAATCATTTCGTCGTTCGTCCGAAAGACTTCATCTGTCTGAGGCCATGCCAAAACTCAGTCCTATAAATAGCACTTTCTCAAAGTGGATAAACCAGTTTGCTGGGGACCTCCAGAACCAGCTTGATCGTTAGTGTCCTGATGGTCGCTAGCTATTCACAGAACCAGCCTGAGGCAAACCTGGCCATAGTGGTTCAAAATGTCCTGAAGCATCAATCATCCAGGTAAATAAATTTGAAAAAGTAAAGTCAGGTCATCTGGACGGATTCTTCTTGGTTGCTCAGTCCTCTGTTGACAGTTGACCCGATTTGTTGCAAAATGCTCCTCTGTTTCTTATTTGTACGATCTACTTGTGCAGCTATTTGTTGCACCCTTTCCCAACTTTTTGGTACATGTTGCTGCCATAAAAAATAAAAAAAAAAAACTATATTTTTCTCCTAAATATGTACAATTTATAAGTTTGAACTTTTGACATACTGTATTTGCCAAGTTTCATTATTAATAAATAATTGGTTTGAGATTTGCAAATAATTGCTTTTGTTTTTATTTACATTTTACACAACACCCCAGTTTTTTTTTTAAATTAGAGCTGTATTGTTTTACCCTCCTTAATTATATTCCTACCTTCACCCAGGATTTTCAAGGTCTGCACAGTATCAGGTTGTATCAGCAATGGGCAAGTGACTGCATGCGTGAGAAACTGCATGTTTGTGTGATGTATGCAAATGTTTGAGCCTTTCTAACTGCATTGGTAACTTTGTTGTAAAGTACCCTTAAACTAATTTGTGTACCTTTTTTAACGGGGTCATTGTGTGTGAAAACTTCATAACGCCTCAGTGGAAGATAGGAAAACTATTTTTGAACAGTCCGACCAGTCCTTTCTCCTGAAAGTAACACTGTAGCTTCTGCTGGTCTAAAAAGCTTTTACTGAAGACGCTCATTACAAAGAGTGTCTTGTCCGTTTGATTGTGAAACTGTAACTAAAATTCCTGAGCAGTGACTGAAAAAATGTGGTTCTTGCAAGTTTATGGTTGATGCTCAAAAGCAAGACTTTCAAGTTGGGATTCCTTAAGAAGAACGCATGTGACACTTTAAACAAGGTTGAAATTCACGGTATATTTTCTTCTTGCCACCAAATATAGTTCATCACTGGGTACATGAAGCCAAGATTTATGGACTTGAATGGTGCTGAACTGGTCTGTGCTTGTTCTGGTTCTTCCAGTCAAGCTCAACAAAAGAAGCCCTCAACAACAACAACGACAAAAAAAACCTGACAGGAGACATGCCTGCACACTTTTAGTAAATGTGCCTTCCTGTGTCATTGTATATGCCCTTTCATTACTAGTGTGTACCAACAGCATGACTAATATCTGTTTTTGTTGCTAATTCTACAGGCTTAGTGTTAAAGTCTAAATTTGTTTCTGATGTGTTTTGTGGGGAAAAGAAAACGGTGGCTCACCAGTTCTTGTGTCGTCAGTCGTGTTTGTGTGAGAGATGCTGAAAAACAAAGAGCCTCACCATAACATTTCAAAAACTAAACAACCAACACGCCCATGTAAATATTAAGTTGTATATAATGCATGACATTATTATTTTTTTCCTGATATTGTATGATTTGTGTGTTATAAATTATTTTTGATTTATTCCCTGATAAGTGTTCTCTGCTTTCAGACCCTGTCCACACTTACCAAAGGTACCACAGTGATTACAGCTCATCCAGTGAAAGCCCCTCAGTGACCTCTGATCCAGACTACAGACAAGGTAACGATGTCTATGTGGGGGTGCAAACCTTAAGGTACAGACTGAAGATAATGCAAAGCCATTAGGTCAGAGGTGGGCAACAATTTTCCAAAGGGCCAAGATGTTTAAAGCTTCAAGTCCATTGGGCTTCTGCCTCTTCCTGCACTGTTATTATTATTATTTTTTATATATATATATATCTTTGATCTGTATTTTAATTGTGCAAACTAAACTAAAGCAATCAAAGGGCATAGAGAATTGGAAAATACATTTTCTTTATGACAGATAATCTAGAAGGCCTTTTTCTTATTGTAGCTTATAGTTGGCATGCTTTATAAATATATGTCTTTTGAAAATCCTTTAGGAATATAAGGCATATTCTGTAAACTGGCTCTTGTGACAATATACTACATGTTATACATGTTAGCAGAAATATGCAGAACAGACTAATATATTTGTGTTTCTAAGTGTTGAAGTCTAAGTCTAGTTCTGGAAACACAACTTAAATATTGTTTTTACGTTTTGCGTAAGATGTTTAATATACATTTCTTTAAGTCTCATTGATAAATTGAAGACTTTTTTTTTTTTTTTATCAATTTTTATTTAAAAAGTTGTGGGTTTTTTTAAACTAAGGATATTGGGGTCCTGATGGAGATTATCCAAGGGCCACTTTTGGCCCTCGGGCCTTAAGTTACTGACGTCTGCATTAGGTAACATTTTTCAGCTATAAAGATTTTTTTTCATTATTTTTTTTTTACTTGGTCATTTAGTAGGTAATTCAGGTCTAGTAGGGGAGTGATTGTATTAATCTTTTGTAAATGTATTACTTTTTGTCACTAACGTCAGCTTCTAAATGAGCTGCTGTTATTTACTTAGTGTGTGTTGTAAATTAAAGCATGTCTACTGCTATGTAGGAAAGTGCATCATCGTTGTATGGGAAAGTTTGCATAATGGTTTTATTTCTCTGATTGTTAGAACTAGTTTTTTGATTGAGTTTTTAAAAGGTTTAAAGGTTAACAATACTTGTAGTTGTGAGAGCCAAATGTCCAAGCACCTGCTACTCTAATGGTTAAAGCATTAACTACTGGTAGGTGTGTGTACTTTTTATTGTATTTTATACCCTGAATCACATTCCTCGGTTTTATTTGTCCCTGTAGCTATTGGATAAAGTAGTTTGTTATTGGTGTTTGAAAACCAAAGCTTGATTGAATTTTCTTTAACTGAAACAAACATTAAATCATATTTATAAGACTTGGAAAAAGTTGTTTTTTAAAGCATTTTAGTTCTTGAGAGTCACTGTAATACAATAGTGACCATACATACAAACTTCCAGAGCTTTAGTTGACAAGTGTTTTGTAACCACTGTTGTGCTAAAACATGTTCGTACAGGTTAATCACACCACCTTGTGGGTGGATGCATCTGGAGGGAGTGTGTTCGACCCATCAAACAAAGTGCGGTCGTTTTGTGTTCATGTGTGTCGCTGATAGTCCCATGTCTCCTGCAGCTAAGAGGCCCGGTGAGGTGGCAAGGTTCGGCTCTCAGCTGGCACTTTCATCAGAACATGACCCCCTGTCACTGGCTGGTCACAACCTAAACAGACACAGGTAATCCAAACAGACTGTTAACAGCCTCACCTCACCTTCAGGCCGCCTCCTGCATGATGCATCGTCTTTAACACACGTTTATTTCCTCTCTTCTGTGTGAAACTTCTGTAATTAATGGAGAAAATATAAAAATACACTGTAGAGGTTTGTGACTTGCTCTGAGACGACTCCTTTGAAATCTTTTGGAGTACCGTACTTTCTGCCGTACATGTCGCATCGCCGTATAAGTCGCGTCTATTATGCGTCACCACTGACGCGTTTGTTATGCGTTACCGCTGACCACCTGGAACTGCGGGCCGACGTTGTGCCAAAAAAACGATTGGCTGCCAAATGGCGGCCGCAGGAGATTGCACAGGAGGACTTATTTATAGAATTTATAGAACTTAACAAGATTAGCATTTAAAAACAACAATTTGTTTGCTCGACATTATAGTAAAGGTGTTTCGCAGTTGAACTTTTCTTTAATAAATGCAATTTAAATCAGCTGCATTTCGCCTGGGTGGCGCGGCGAAATGCAGCTGATTTGATGTTTGCTACAGGAGTTCCAGAGCGAGACGAAGGTGACAATTATGGCAATCCAGGTGTCTCATTAATAGTCACTTTTTCCTATTAATGAGACACGTGGCTTGCCATATTAATCTAGGGCTGTCTAGCGGCTGAAAATGGTAGTGTTCGATATTTTCCATGTCAGAATGAATGAAATCGTCAGATCTCAGCCAAAAATTGGTTATAAATTTGGGGGAAAAAACTGTATATTGGTCGCTTCGGTGTTTAAGTCGCAGGACCTGCAAATTTATGCAAAAAGGTGCGACTTATATGGCGAAAAATACTGTACACAGATTGGCTGGGTACTGCAGAGCTCACTTTGATTCAGCGAAGGAAAGAAGGAACCACGTCTAAATCTGCTGTTTGGATTTACCGAACATTTTCTCATTTTTACAATACACGTCCACAGTTTGATTTCTTCTGTTAACAGTGGTGCTTGTGCACCGATAGATCTGTTACCAGAACAAGTACAGCTGGCTATATTTTTGTACTGTCAGTAACTTTTAGTGTTTAAATGTCATTATTTGGTATTTTCTCAGCTTGTTGGGAACCTTCACTATATACAATGTGAAAACCATCAAAAAGATGTGGGTGAAGTTGTGTTGGACCATAAAACACTTACAATATCACTGAAACCAAACATATTTTGTAGTTATATCTATGTTGCAGGCTTATTCTGAAGCACTCGTCCCCATTAAAAAAAAAAATCCAGATAAATTTCAATGTCATTTTTCTATATCCATTTTATTCTGGTCAGGTTTGTTAATTTCTATAGCATATTCCTTCTGACATACAGTATGTTGAGAGATTTGATTCACCCTGGACAGACTGTTGATCCATCACTCTGGTGCCCACCACAAAATGAAGAATTACAAATTAACCAGCTCAAAATGAATCCACAGGAGAACATGCAAATTTATCGCAGACGTTTCAGAAAATGTCTAGTCCAAAACCCTCTTGCTGTGACTCCCTGCCTGGTATTGTTTTTTAGGAAATAATAAGAAAAATGAGTACTGGGAGAATGTTTTGTTCAAAAGATACTGCGAAACTAAAACCGTTATTATATTTCATTATGTGCAGGCAGATCTTTGCAACCAAACTTCTACTCATTCAGACTAAATTTAATATCAGCTATGTACTTTAATCTGTAGCTTATGTAAAATGTATTTATTGATTTATTTTTTGATGAGTACAGTAAGTACATATACTTTCCAACACATAACATCATATTTATATGAAGTTATATTTGTGTTGATTTGTTCATTTTCCTCGTTTGAAAAACCGCTCTCCACTAAATGGGAAAGCCGCAGACAAAGCAGTCTCGTTTGGTCCTGTGGGCCACACACACAGAGCTGGTGTTGCACAGCAGGATGCTTCGCTAGTGAGGTCATCAAACGCGACATTCACATTCATCCGCCTCGATCTCCTAAAGCTCTAGCATTACAGACCTGAACGGCCTGCTTGTTGCTATGTCTTTCAGGAAACTATGTTTTCTATTCGTTCTGCTGCAGAGCTTTATCCTAAACATCGGCGCGTATTGTTTTAACAGAATTCTGCAGCTACTGTAACTGTTGTTTCTTTGTAGGCAAAATGATGGAACAGCTGATGAAGGTCTGGTTGGAGCTGAGTTGCTCCTGCAGAGACAAGAGGAGGTGGAGCGGCTCCAGACACACCTGGCCAAAAGGCTGTCCAGGGCCAACTTCCACCCTTCAGATGAGCCATCGTTAATTGACCCCCAAGACCCCTTCAACACTTCCTCTATATCGCTTCGCAGAAGCAAGGTTTGTCTGCTCTGAACTCAACACTCAGATATGTGCTATTAATGTAACAACCCTGCAATCTCTAATAATGATTCAAGGATCAGCCTGTCTGCTACGAGACTTCATCTTCTTTTGTTACAAAAAATGCTCGACACAACATCCTACAGAGCCCTGAGTTAAACCTTCTTACTGCAGCACATGCAAGAAGCTCAACGCTCATTAACTGACTGCACATAATTAATTTCAGCCTTTTGTGGTAATAGATTTTTACAGTATAGTTTGATAGATCCCGCCTACTGTCACAAATGGTGTGAAAGCATTACCATATATGGTAAACGTAGCAACAAATCCTCTGATGTTAGCGGTGCATCTTAAATATGGTGGATATATACTGTAGCTGATGGAATATTCAGATGTGTGTTTGAGTCTCTTGCGAGTTATTATTGGAAAAAGTGTTTTCTGAAATTTAACTCTTACAGAAAACCTGTAATGTTTTATGAAACTTTTGATCTTAAAAGATCAGTTAAAATATCAAGTTTTGTACAAAAAGTAGTGTTCGTATTGTTAATCACCCAGAGGCCACATACTCTTTAAAAATGTGACTTTTTTCTTTTTTCTTAAAAAAAAAAAAAAAAATGGCAGAACTTTCTTGGACCAGAGTTTGTGAAGATGGCCAGTGAGTCTTGCATCTCCTTAACCGTGCCCTCTTCAATAATGGTAGGTGTTTAAATGCTATCACTTTAAAGCTAGCTTAATTCACATCTCATTTTAACTCCCTTTTTTTTTTCCCTAACACAAGAAGCGTGGAAAGGTGGAAGAAGTGAGGAGGAACGTGGGTGTGGTGCTGCTAAATGGCCAAAAACTGGAGCTGAGCTGTGACATCAAGGCAGTTTGTAAAGATGTTTTTGATATGGTGGTGGCTCACATCGGACTTGTGGAGCACCACCTCTTCGGCCTTGCTTACCTCAAAGGTAACGTTTGCATATCTCCCTTATTAGAAGTAAATTTAGATACATTTTCTACACACAGTGATAGTAAAACTTACAAAAAAGTACATTTAATCTTTGAACATGCATCAGGATACATTTAATCTTCTTGGCTTTTAATTGCTTTAAAGAGATTTGGTGTTTTAAATGATTTGTCATTTATTTAGTTTAGTTTAGTTTTTTTACTTGGATTTATATTTAATATTTTAAAACCTCTAACGGTTTTGATTAATTTTTAATGTCCTTTAGACTTTTAACGTTTTTTTTTTTTTTTTGTTGTTATTGGTATGAGGTTTAGCGTACAGCACTTTAGCCAAGGCATGTGGTTTAAAATGTACTTTAAAAATAAAATATTTAGTTTGATTTAATAAATCAGTCTTAAGTGGCTCCTCTCATTGATGACACCTCTTATCTTTCATCTTGAATTTTGTACAGAAAATGAGTTTTTCTTCGTTGATTCTGATGCCAAACTCCTTAAAGTGGCCCCAGATGGATGGAAGGAGGATCCTAAGAAAAGACGATCTGATGTGCCCTTTACCCTTTTCTTGCGCATCAAATTCTTCCTCGATGATGTTAACCTCATACAGTAAGCGGAAAATATTAGCCATTGGCAAATTATCTAAAGAATAAATGGGTGTTACTTCCACAGAACAACAAAACCTTGTGCTGGCTTGTCAAATCTTAACACAATGTTTCTTTCTTTTTGCGTAAAACAGACATGCTATGACTAAACATCAGTACTACCTGCAGCTGAGGAAGGATATCTTAGACGAAAGAATGCGCTGCAGTACAGAAAATGCCTTGCTACTGGCTTCACTGGCACTGCAAGCTGAATTTGGGGACTACCAACCTGAGGTACTGAACCCTATTTCTACATCTGTGTTAATAAAAACAATAGTTTAAATGCTGAATTTAATTAATTTAATTTATTTATATTGTCCCTGCACCATCACATCACACATTTTCTTGTGTGTGGCAGCTCCATGGGAAGACTTATTTCCGACTGGAGCACTACATGCCAGTGTCTGCATTGGATAAGGTGGACCAGACAACCCTTAAGGAAGAACTGCCAAAACTTCACAGCAACTACTACGGAGCATCAGATACTGAAGCAGAGTTTGAGTTCCTCAAGGTTAGCAAGATAAGAGTGTAAAGAAACCAAGGTTATTCGCAGGTGGAGAGAAAGCTGCAGTTACTGATGATCACATCAGTTACTAATTATCGCTTTTTGGGAAAACTTGATAAATAAATCCTGACTAAATTGGAAACAATGAATAGTTGTGAGACACTAGACTACACTATCACTTAGGACAAATTCATGTACTGCCATAACTTTTCAGTGCAAATGAAAATTATCAGGATTATCTGTACTTTCTTTATAATATAAATCAAAAATCCAGCAAACATCTAAGCCCTACCTGTAATTATGTTTTCTGTCTTTTAAAATAGTGTTATACTTTTGCTTTCTGTTTCAGTTTTAAACCTCTTTTAAACATTTGTTAACATTTGAAGTCGTTTGTCTCAAAGGTGGGCCAGAGGCTGACAGAGTATGGAGTCCATTTCCACCGAGTCCTTCCAGAGAAGAGGTCTCAGACAGGCATCATGCTGGGCGTCTACTCCAAAGGCGTGCACATTTTTGAAGTCATTAATGGAAATCGTACCCCCGTGCTTAAGTTCCCCTGGAGGGAAACCAAGAAGATCTCCTTCGTAGTATGCTTTTTTTTTTAATTTTATTTAATTTAAAACTAAGTTTCAAATAATTGCAGTGTGTTTTTCCTCAAATGTTCCGCACTTTAAATTGTTTTCTCTTACCCTTTAAGAAAAAGAAGATTTGCCTTCAGAACACGTCCGACGAGATTAAACACCTTTTCCAGACGGACAGCAGCAGGACGTGTCAGTATCTGCTGCAGATGTGCACAGATCAACACAAGTTCAGCTTGCAGACAAAGGCGCGTCAAACCAACCAGGAGCTGCAAGATCTGGGTACGTTAGAAGACTGTAGTTCCTCATGTCCATCTGAATATTGTTCAGAGAACGTGGCCTCTGATTAAAATCATTTGGTTAGCTAAAAACTTTTAAGTATTATTTATATAAGACGCAACATTTTCTGACACAGCAGGATGTTTAGCCAAAGATATCCTGAAAATGTGAACGTTGGCTACACTACCGTAATCACATTTTTCGGCTCTACTCTAAACAAATGTTTCAACGTTATCCGTTTTCTTCATTTCCTGTTTCTTCCTGCACATCAGAGAACAACCCTTTGAACAATCTGCAGTATTCCCTTGATCCCACTGCGAGGTCGTTGGCTGCAGGCAACCTGGTCCCCAGCTTATCGACACGCTCCAACCCGGACCACCTAAAGAGGATCTCATACTCAGAGGCGTCCCTAAACATGGCACCGGCAGGCTCAGTGTTAGTCCACGACACGTTCCACCTTCCAGGTTTCAATCCTATCGCCTCCACAGCCTTTGCCAAGCCACGATTAATGAGTCGTTCTCACCACAACCTGGCACGGTTGTCCGAGTCCGTGGAGCACCGAATGGACGAGTCAAACAGCAGGCTGGTCCAGCCACCGTCCAACCAAGTGGGCTCTCATTTCCAGCAACATCAGCGAGCCAACTCAGACACGGACTCCCTTGCACAGCAACAAGACAAGTAAGATCAAAGAAGTTAAATGTTTTAGTGTTTTTTTGTCCTGAATATAATGACAAATGTCTCTTTTGAGGAGAAATTCTCAACATTTTTAATTAAGCCATTTATAATTAATTTACTTATTTATGTATTTATAGCCATTAAAAGTTTTATTTCAAACTCAATTAAGGAAGTAAGGTTTTATCTCTCTGGGCAGATCTTTTATATCTTTGTGTATGAGTTGATGTCAGGACAGAGTAATGTTAGAACTTGTTACTGGGACTAAACTCATACCTTCTCTATGGAGACACAGAGAATACTTTGGTACTTTAATCTTCTTATTGACTCTCTGGGGGTCTTTATATGTGAATTATCTGTTTGTATTGTGAGGCAGTGTCTGCCTTGTGTAGTTTTATATACAACATTTTTATATTTACTTGAATTATAAGTTTAGTTGGAAATGCCAAGGTAATACAAAGAACTGGAGTGAAAGGACATTGTTTGCAGCATCTTTATTTTGTTTTGTCTATTGTTGCATATTTGAGGCTGTTCTCTTGTTTTTATCATTTTAGGTCATTTGGTGCAGTATTCAATAGCAACCCATCCTGGCACCTCAGCCAGCCTAAAAAGGAATCAGACTCTCCTTCCATAAAAGATGCAGGCCAAGCACATGTTGTTGGTAAGGAAGCTGGTGTGTCTAAAAGGATATTGGATGAAACATTGCATTAGTGATGTAAAGTCACGGTGCGAGATAAAGTCTGCTCAGATGTACATAGCTGTAATTCTGATACAGACTCTGGACTCTCAACCAGTTAATGGAATCACCACTGAGCTGAAATTTGTTTTATTGGGTCAAACTGAGGCACAATTCTAGAATTTCTTAGAAATGGCTTCCTCTTTGCACTGTAGAGTTTCAGCTGGCAACGGCGGATGGCACGGTGGATTGTGTTCACTGACAATGCTTTCTGGAAGTATTCCTGAGCCCATTCTGTTATTTCCTTGACAGTGGCATTCCTGTTTGAGGTGCAGTGACGTTTAAGGGCCCGGAGATCACGAGCATCCAGTAGAGTTTTACGGCCTTGACCCTTACGCACAGCGGTTGTTCCAGATTCTCTGAATCTTTTGATGATGTTATGCACGGTTGATGATGATAACTTAAAAGTCTTTGCTATTTTACGCTGGGTAACACCATTCTGGTATTGCTGCACTATCTTTCTGCGCAACAATGGTGGAATTGGTGATCCTCTTACCATCTTGGCTTCTGAGAGACACTGACGCTCTGAGAAGCTCTTTTTATACCCAATCATGTTGTCAATTGACCTAATTAGTGTTAATTGGTCTTCCAGCTGTTCGTTATATGCTCAATTTCCTTTTTCCAGCCACTTATTGCTACTTGTCCCAACATTTTTGGGATTTGTTGACACTGTGAAATTTTGAATCAACATATTTTTCCTTTAAAATGTTACATTTACTCAGATTAAACTTTTGATCTGTCATCTGTTATATTACGAATAAAATGTTGACATTTGCCATCTCCACATTATTGCATTCAGTTTTTATTCACAGTTTGTTTAGTGTCCCAACTTTTTTGGAATCCGGTTTGTAATAATAACTTGTAATTTCATAAAAAGACCAGTTATTTTTTGGATCAGTTGTTTTGCCTCACTGACCTTTTATGTTGTTTGCAGGCATCAGTATGCACAGTCCCTCTGGTCTGCCTTCAACCCCGACCTCTGTAAATGGTATGTTGTAGTAAAACATGTATTATTGTTTTATTATTGCTGCTCTGAAACATTACATATTTTTAATCCTCTAATTTTGAGTCTACAATCGGGATGCAAATCAAACACAAAGTGCATGTTTCAAAATCTGAAACAAAATGCAAAACTGAATCTCTGTTCTCTTTCTGCTGCTGGTTTGTAAATCTTAACCTTGGCCTTTGTGCAACCGTTTAATAGCTCATTTGTTGGAACTGATCTCTTCTTTTATCCCAGTTCAGCAAATCTTTTCAGTCTCATTTCTCAGCTGTGCTAAACTGGACGTCCTTCAGCAGCACTGTGTTCCTGCCTAGGCTGAATAATGGTTTCACTGCTGATGTTTTAGACCCCTCAGAGTTACCTGCTGTTACATTAACACAATTACATGTTATGCATCAGTCAAAAAACAACAACATAGTTGTGTATTACTGATATATTCTGGTATTACATGTTGTTTTATTACAATTGCATAGATTCTCTGAAGAAAAAGCTCAATGAGATGCCATCTCCAGAGAGAGAAATCACAAGTGTAAACCTGAAGAAAGATGTTAAATATGGACTTGGTAAGCATGCTTGTTTTTACAAAATGTCCTGCTTCTAATTTCCTAAATAATACAATTCAATTCAAATTCAAAAAATAATTTATTAATCCCAGAGGGAAATTAAATAATATAAAAATATATTAGTAAAAACTCATATTTAATTATTTTTATTGTAATTTGGAAATAATGGACTACAGCAACTTTCGCAAAAACAATTTCTCCAACTACAAACGAGCCTTTGATTTAGTTTAATTTGTGCAGGAGTACTAAATTATTTGAACACACAGGCATATACAGTAGTTTTTCAAAGTAATGTTGGACATGACACACAACTGGCTGACTGATGGATGAGTCGCACAATCGGCATGGAGTTTTTATTTACAATAAATTATTTAGCACCTGCTGCACCTTTGAGCAGGAGAAGCTTCCTCCTACAGCTGATCAGCTGTTCCCCGTGCAGAGCGGAGAAGTGGGCGTGGCCAAGAGCGCTTGCAGGTGGCTAAAATCATGAGATTCTGTGCTCTTTTAGAACATTTAAAGTTTAAAAACATTGTTTAGAATATTGCAATAGTGTGGGAAGGGTTTAAAATGCCTTAATATATACATATATAGATACTAAAATAAACTACTACTTGTATCACTATTCCTACTTTGCGGCTTTTCACTTATCGCAGGTCTTCAGGGTACGGATCCCCCGCGATAAACGAGGGACTACTGTATTTATGTTGTTATGACTGTGCTTGTGCGTGTTGCAGGATTTCAGGTTGTTGGAGGGGAATATTCTGGCCGTGCCGACCTCAGTACTATCATTAGCTCCATCACTCCTGGGGGTCCAGCTGATCTTGATGGCTGCCTTAAACCTGGTAGGACAGTGTTTTGTTATCCTGTACATCCTGTGTGGGTCGATTCTTACGCTTTGGTTGTCTGCTGAGATGGTGGCGCTTCTGTTGTAGATTTGTGCCTGGCTAGTTTTTCGTGCATGTAACAGTGGTAACATTGATTCAGGTGACCGGCTGATATCTGTGAATGATTTAAACGTGGACGGACTTTCTCATGCTGTTACGCTTGATATCCTTCAAAATGTTCCTGATGATGTTACTCTGGTAGTGTCACAACCCAAAGAGAGGCTTTATAAAGGTAAAAGTAGAACTATAAATGTTTTTAAGCTCTTGATGTTTTATTTTAAATGAAGGTATTGCCTTCATTTACATTCTTTCATTACCGGTATTTTCCCTTTTTTTTTTTTTTTTTTGGCAGATTCACCACCAGAATATGCTTCTCGTCAACCCATGCCTTCATTTAAGACACCTAACTGTGCTCAGAGACAAGAACTGAATGTTGACTCTTCATCAGAGGAAACGCAAGAAACTGGAAGCCCCAGCCCTCCCCTCCTCAAAGCTGCCACACTGTTATCTGCCTCCTCTCCTGGGCACCATAACACCAACTTCAGTTCTCAGGACTCTAAGCTGGGCAGTGCAGCTAAAGCCAGCCAGTCCCCTCTTGACAGAATCCAGAAATGTTTGGAAAGAGCTGCAGTGCCTTCTACAGCTGAAACCACGACCCAAAATCATGGAAATGAACTCAAATTGGGTTTGAATCCCGTGCCACCGGCTCTGCCGCCTAAAGCTAGAAAAATTAAACTTGCAGAAATACCCAAATTTTCTGAGCTTTCTGACAGGGGAGATACAGACATGGATGAGGACACTTATTCTAGTTATCCAGAAAAGCTGAAGGTCAAAAAGGTGCGGCCTTTGAACGTTTGAATTTATTTGTGTGAATAGACTTTGTTCGTAGATGTTTTTTACATAATAGCTCTAAAGTATCATGAACCGAAATACACAAAGTTGCGTTTTTATTCTCGAGCAACAAATGTTTTCTCCTTGCACTAAACTTTTTTTAGTTGCTCGGCACAACTAACGGCCCGTAGTTAACCCCTGACCTATCATTGCATTGACGTTGTCAATGCAATGCAGAATGTGCACTGCATGTTGAACGTGTTAGAATATCTGCTGGCTTTCTTCACCACCGCACCGAAATCATCTTCCTCACTTCGATCACGTTTTTCCTTTTGCATGTATTAAATCACCTCGATGCACTGTTCTCTATTTACAGGAAAACATCACGGAAAATATAAACGGTAATGCCCCAGGGGTCAATGGTCTCCATCCTGGAGAACTATTTGACGTTGAGCTGTCCAAAACGGACAGCGGCCTGGGCATAAAAGTCACGGTACTGTCCGACAAGGTTTTCACTCTCTCTTTGTTTTGGCCCCTTTCCTGCTCATCTCATCACTGTTCCTTAGTGTGTTGATGTTTTGTATGTTTTTTTGGGTTTGCTTATTTAGCTGTTTGTTGGAAGAGCTTGTGGTAATACAACTCATTTTGCATGATTCTTTTTTTTAATTAAACACAAAAAATAATCAAATCACAGGCTCTTTAGCACCATTAGAGTAATAACTAAAATGACTAAAAGCTGTAAGAATAGCTGATTTGTGGGTTTTCTAACGAGTGGCTAATGTTTATGCTTCCTGCTGACGAGTGATATAATAAAACACAATTAATCTTAACTTCTCTCTCGTGGACTTTAAGCTTTGATTGGCATAAATAACACTCAGATACCGATCAATTGACGTACCTTCTCATTGCTTTTAGATTCAAACTGACCATAATTTGAAATTATTGATGGAAAGAAAATAATCCAGTTGTTTATCTACAACTAGAGATTATCAGATGGAGTACCAGCCAAATGTTTATCACTTAAATTTAATTCCTCTAGGTATTTATATTTTACAAATTTGTTAAATGATAAATGCTTTGATTTTATTTTAAAAAGGAGTAAATTGGGCACAATTTAAACAAAAATGTTAAAGAAAAAAAACTTGCTGTTACTCTGGAATATATCAGACGTTATTTCTAGAAAGAAAATTAACCTTTTTTTAATCCTTATCTGCTTAAATGTGAGTTGTTTTAATGAGCAAAATATCAATTTGTGGTGAAACCTAAATGTTTTTCAAGTAAAATACCTTTTGAATGTTATATAATTTTCTTTTTTATTACGTCTTTAGCCCCAATTTAAAAAAAGCATTTATCATTTAACAGTTGCTCTTTAAATGGAAACCCTTCCCATGTCCCATCAACTCCCAGAGAAAATGCACATTCATCTTTTTGCGTTTGCTGTTGGGACTAAGAGTTGTGTGAATTTCTTTAGGGGGGAACCAACACATCCGTCCGGCATGGAGGCATCTACGTCAAAGGCATTATACCAAAAGGTGCTGCTGAGCTTGATGGAAGAATACAGAAAGGTAAACCGCATTCAGAAATGTTAGAAATGTTACAGGAAACAAAGGCTAAAAGGACAAAATGAAATGTTTTTATGTGTGGGGTTCAGGTGATCGTGTTGTGGCCGTTAATGGAAAGAGTCTGGAGGGAGCCACTCATAAGGAGGCGGTCGATGTCCTCCGAGAGACGGGGCAGGTAAGGGTGGATGTTTATGATGATGAGATGTTTAGCAGCCACCCAGATGGCCTCTAACGTCGTGTAAATCATGTTCGGTGTGTCTCAGACGGTGCATTTGTTACTGGAGCGGGGTCATCCTCCTGCGGACAGCACTCATGCTCCCCTCACCCCTCAAATCACTGCAAATCGTGCGGCCAATGGCCGTGATCAAACCAAGGATAAGGTGCAGCCTCCCGAGGCCAGAGAGAAACCAGAGTACAGCTTTGTCACAAAAGGTGAGACAACGATGTGGATTACTAAAGCGATCCTTAGACAGTTAGGCTTTATAGAGGGTTAAAAAATGTTAATTTTAATGCACTTTGTCATTTTTATTTATACTGAGAATGGACTCTGGACCCCATTTTCAGTCACTGTAATTGTTTTTTTTTATTATTAAATGCTCACTTCCCTTCAGGGTAAGGCCTTTATTATAAATGTATTCTAAAGTTCATACACTTATTAGAGGAAACGGTTACTATTTTAGTCAGCATTTTGTCACCACTAAGCCTCGTTTGTTCTCACTCTAAACAAAGTAACACTGCGTTGATAATGTAATTTTAAAGGAAATGTGTGTTAGCTGAGCAGCTGATCAGGACATGTAGCACTTTCCTACAACTGAACATTGTTTTGTGTGTAAATGCTCACTGATAAGTGCCCATAGCACCAGTAGGACAAGAACCTCACCCTCAACATAGACAAAACAAAGGAGCTGATAGTGGGCATGAGGAAGGACTGGACACTGTTCATCTTAGAGCTTGAGGTAGAGAGGGTGAGCAACTTTAAATACCTAAGCATCCACATCAGCGAGGACCTTGCCTGGACTGTGAACACCACACAGCTGGTTAAGAAGAATAGAATATACAGTAGTCCCTCGCTACTTCGCGGCTCATTTTTCGTAGGCTCGCTCTATCGTGGTTTTTCAACGTAAGAGTGGACATGACACACAATTGGCTGATTGATGGATGAGCTGCACAACCGGCATGGAATTTTTATTTAAAATAAATTATTTTAAATTATTTAGCACCTGTGTGCGGCACAGATCTACAGGAGAAGCTTCCTCCTGCAGCATGCTATGATCTTTGCTCTGCAGCGGAGAAGTGGGCGTGGCCAAGACCGCTTGCAGATGGCAGAGAGCTGAAATCATGACATGCTGTGCTCTTCTAGAGCGTTTAGAGTTTAGAAACATTGTTTAGAATATTGCAAATGTGTGGGAAGGGTTTCAAACTCCTTTATATACAGTATATATAACATCTTATATATAACATCTTAGATGTTATTACTGTTTTTCTTATACATTTTATTGTTGGCTGTAACTGGGACCCTGTGTACATAATTTCGCTCCACCACATGTACCACATGAGGTGCGAATGACAATAAAGAAACTCTGACTCTGACTCTGACTCTGATATATAAATACTAAAATAAACTACTGCTTACTACTTGTACTACTATTCCTACTTCACAGTTTTTCACTTATCACGGGGCTTCAGGGTATGTATCCCCCGCAATAAATGAGACTAATGTAACCTTTATTGTCCCTTGGTGGGGAAATTCAGTATATCCATAGCATACAGTATTAATTGCCACTTCCTGTTTGCTCCTGGAAATCGTTGCACAGTTGTACAAATTTTCAAAGTTACTAAGTTTGTGTGAGTACTAAAACGTAGGATTTCATGTGTCTGTGTCGAGTTGGTTTGGGCCTGTTTTTATCTAGTTAAACTTGTTAAACTAACAAGTTTGTAATGAATGTTGCTTACATGATAATGTGCAAAATGCTGCTGTCCATGATTCTTACCCATAACACAGGAACAAAAGGAAGATTGTGGACCTTATTTGATTGGATAATGAATTCTTGGCACTAATCTTGCTCCCCTCTTTGAGGCCATTATTATTTTGTGGTTTGTGTTTTCTGTGCTGCGGGGTTCAAGATGTCCGTTAAGCCTTGATTTTTGTTTTCCTACTGTCACTGAAAGCAATTTGTGTTCCTTTAGAATTAGTTTAATTGGCCTTTTATTAAATTCCTGCACTACTTCTGGTGTGAGTTTAGCACAGACGTGGATTTAAACTGCAACCTGACCAGCTGGCAGGGACATGCAGCCATGAGTCAGTAATTCTAGTGTAATACTGTGACTAATCAGACCACCAGACTGCTGGTTTGACCCAAGCACTCAAACGGCTAAGTAACTTGTGATTTATTTGATAATTGGATTTGTGTCTGGAACAAAGTGGAATTTTCTTGTAAAGCCGCACGATTAAGAGCAGCACTCTTTGTTTTGAAGATGAAAACAGAAATATTTGGCTTTAGTCTCAGGACTAGAGGTTAAACTAGTGCTCGTCTGCCCAGAGTTGGTCCTTACAGCAGGGGCATGTTTTTGTCCCCACAGATAACGTGTTTGAGGTGTGCCTGGTGAAGAACACATCGGGTCTCGGCTTCAGCTTCAGTCGAGAGGAGCACGTTCCCGATGAACCTCACAGCTCCAGCATGGTGCGGGTAAAGAAGCTGTTTCCAGGTCAGCCTGCTGCGGAGAGTGGTCGGATCAAAGTGGGCGACGTCATCTTACGAGTCAATCAAACCCACCTCAAAGGACTTTCACAACATGTATGCATTTTTGCAAGCTAAGAAGCAATCGAATTAGAAATCGTATTGTTCTGTATCATAATGGTGTCACATCCCTGACTTTTTTGCAGGAGGTCATATCAGCCCTGCGAGGAACTGGACAGGAGGTGACATTGCTCCTCTGTAGACCTGAACAAGGCATTCTGCGTGAGATAGACTCCTCAGCCTTGGTGCGTTATTAATGAATTATTTTGTTGTAAAAACCGTGTTATTAATGAGGATAAAAGTCTTTCATATTCCTTCTCAAGACACCTAAGCCGTCACCCAGAAAGCAGCCTGCAAACCTCCCAGAGCCCAGCTTGAACTTGAGCAGGACTGCTTCTCCTCCACAAGGTCTCGTGAGTCATGGTTCTGTGGAAAAGGCCCTGGAGAGGGTGCAGCTCAAATCCCCCGCCCGCCACAACAGCTACAGCGATAGTTCTGGTGAGGACGAGGAGGTAGAAGAAGCCTTTTCTTTGGAACGCAGCAGGCAAAACTGGGAGCAGAGTGTTTATCACACCCCTGCTAGCAACCCAGGACTGGGACGCTACGACAGCACTGGTCAACTGGATAACACCTTCCAGTCAGCTTTTTATTCTCCAGACCTCTCAATGACGAGGTCCGACCTAAATAACAGGTACCTGATCCCACAAATAAAAAGTATATCCCCTGCAACACATCTTAAGCTTTTATGTATGTTTATTTAAATGTGTTGATAGATCACCTGTCTCAGAGGACCTGGAGTCACCCTCTCTGACTGGGATATCATCTGCCTGTGGTCCCAGCCCAGACCCCCTCCCCCCTCCGATGCCGATGCCTTTAAACTTCACAATGTCAGACGACAGACGGAACATGGGAGAATTCATCCCAGTAAGGACGGAGAAATTCACTAAATTGTGTCTCGGTTTTTGTTCTCCGTGATAATCCTGTAATTGGGATTTTCTTCTTGTCGTTAGGAGGTGGAGCTAAAAGTCTCTTTGATGAAGTCGGAGACCGGCAGCCTCGGCTTCACCCTCACCAGAGGAAGTGACCTGGGATGTTACGTCCATGACATCGTCCAGGATCCGGCCAAAGGAGATGGAAGACTTAGACCTGGAGACAGGATGATTATGGTACAAATTCATCCCAAGCCTTGTTTGTAATCTAATTTTAGATTAGTCAAAGTTAATCTCGAAATTAGTTGTGATTTTAGGCAGTACTTTCCATTTCACAAATTGTTTATTAAATGCTGACAAAAATAGAAAGTCTCCAAGGCATAATTCAGCATAAAATCTGGCCCAGTTTTAGCTTTCTGTGGTACTATAAATGTCCAACAATTTATTTTAATGTTTATTTAATGAATCTTTTTTATTTTCTGCCAACAGGTGAACAACACGGACGTGAGCAACATGAACCACACCGAGGTGGTCAGTCTTGTGCGTGCCGCCCCTCGGCTGGTTGATCTGATTGTCGGAAGGATCCTGCAGGCTCCAAACCCCCCCATAGAAGCCCATCTGCTGCCTGACATTTGTTTCAAAAGCAATGAAGAACCACTGGGTAAAAAAAATAAATAAATAAACTACATTTAGTCACTAAGATGTTTAAATTCAGGAACTGGTGTTTATTGCTTGTTAAAGTTGTAAAGCTGCTGCAGATAAATGTTTCAAATTAAATATTTGTTTCTTCTCCTGCTCCTAGGATTGGTCTTAGATGGTGGTAGTGGCAGTGATTATGGAGTCTTATTTGTGAGAGATATTGAACCTGGATCTCTGGTCTTTAAGGAAGGAAGTCTAAGACCACTCGACTTAATCCACTACATTAACGGTGCTCCCACTCAGGACCTGACTCTCAGTGAGAGTATTAGACTTCTGGAGCTCTCCCTTGACAACTTCTCGCTCAAGGCTACCAGGTAGCCAAACATGCAGCCGGTTTTAAATCTGTTACTGTTTTCTCTCTGGAAAGGTAAAGATTATATATGTTTGTTTATTTATTCTTTTTCCATGTTCTTCATCTCACAGGGATGGAGAGCCCGTTACTCCTGAACAGAAAGGCGTCTCTTTTCTCATGGACAGCAAGTTGTCCTCCAACACGAATGGTTTGTTTTTCATTTTAAAGACTTTTTAATATGTTTTATGCGTCTTGTTTTATTTTTCATGTAACCATAACCTGTTTTTTAAGGGTTCCCTAAAGGCTCAAAAGATAATGAGGGTCTTGATGCACTTTGTCCTCCAGAGGTGAGTCAAGAGAATTAGTTTGGCTTTCTAGTTATCTATTCTGTTGGTGCACGTTAATAAAATTCAAAATTTAATAAACAAGAATTTCGTAAAGTTTGTGTTTTTGGTAAAAGAATACGTTGGATTACTGTAAGTCCATGTTACAGTTGTTCTCTGCAATCCCAGGAGGAGATTATAAAGTTGGACTTGGAGAAGCCGCCATCAGGAGGTCTGGGTTTCTCTGTAATCGGTGGGGAGAGGGGGATCTTTGTCAAATCCATCGCACCAGGAGGAGTAGTAGATACTTCAGGCAAGCTGCAAGTGGGAGACAGGCTGCTGAAGGTGAGCTCTGTTGGACTTCTGACGCTCAGAGTCAGAGCTTAAATATGTTAAATGCACTTTTATTAAACAAAACTCATTAAGCTGTCCCATCAGAGGTTTTTGTAGTTGCTGTGTTTTAGCTTAATCTCTTCTTACTAAAGTTGCACATTCTATATAGTTGTAAATCCATTTTTTGCTAACCCTTTTCAAAGTTCCTGTTTATGACTGAACGCCTTCATCTTGTAGGTGAACGAGGAGCTGATGATAGGTGTGTCTCACGCCCAAGCCGTCACCACCATTCGTAAAATAAAAGGCCTGGTGCATCTTATTGTATCTAGGCCGCATGACCAGAACCCAAACACGTACCTGGCCTATCTACCTATCAACTCTGATAAACACAATGGTAGCACAGGTACAAGCAGGAGCTGTCTTAAAAGTTTAAATCCATGCATATCAAACACTTTTATTAGAAGCTGTCAGTATCTTGGTTCAGCCGTCTTTATCTCCATGTTTCTTTCAGATCTGGGTGAGGACAGTGGAGTGAAGACTAAGCTGTATGCAGCAAATAATGAGCAGAAATCCAGCAGCATCCCTGCCAAACCTCCTAGAGGTACAGTGTTGTATACAGATGCGAGATCGAACCGGGATTTTTAGTTTTAACTTAATCCATTTGATGATTTTTACTTGGCAGACTATAAAAGTGACCCACAGAAAAGAGAGGCTGAGCAGGCTGCAGAGCTCTCAGAGGACACAGACTGCGATGGATCCTCTTTACCGGAAGATTCTCCTGTGGTACAAACCTAATAAAACACGTTTTTATAAAATACTTTTGCTGTATTAAACCTCAAAAACAACAAAAATAGCTAAATCTATTGCAGTACTGTACAAAGTAAGGGAGTTATTAAATAATAAAGCTCTGTATATGTTGTATAATGCAATAATTGTTCCACACTTAATCTATTGTATTGATGTTTGGGGGAAAGCATGTAAAACAATTACAAATCCTATTTTTGTTGTGCAAAAAAGAGCTGTAAGAAGAATTATTACTATAAAGCATCTCAGTCACCCATCAAGTACTTTATTTTATCAACTGAAGTTATTGGAGTTCCATGATTTGGTAGATTACAGTATTTTATCAGTTATGTATTGGGCTCAAAATAACACATTACCTTTAAATATCCAAATAAATTCTGTTAAAAGGGAGAGTTGTTATAATCTTAAGGGGATAAAGATATTTGTGAAACCGAAATTCAGAACTAGTCTGAAGGGACGGTCTACCTCAATCCAGGGAATTGGATTGTGGAATAATCTGGAGAGTGATGTTAAAAATGCCAAATCAATGTGTACATTGAAGAAAATGTTCAAAGTTGAATTGTTAAAAAAAAAAAAAAATGAAGTAGCTTAGTGTGTATTGTATGAATTGTCATTCAAGAAGGAGTTATTTATTTTGTTTTGTTACTTGAAGATTTTTTTATTATTATTAATTGTTTGGAAGAAAAAAAAGGGCAGATATAATAAGATTTCTTTCTTCCTTCTGCTGCATTTCATTTTTATTTTTGATTGCATTTCTTCTTGTTTATGGAATTGTTTTGTTTTTAAAAAAAATGAATACATTTTATAAATAAAGAAATAAAAACCTCACATTTGTAATCTGTACAGAGTTCAAGGAGAGCAGGATGGCAGGAGGAGAGTGTTGACACCCCAAGGAATGAAAAGTAAGATTTTTACTTTTGGTTTTGCACTTTAATTCACAACAAATTGTGCTAATGTCTATTTCCTGTTTTTGTTGGAACAGCAGCTATCTGCAGATGAGTGCTGGGCAGCCAGAAGAAGATGACGTTACTTGGGGGAGCAATGAAATTCCCATTGAAATCATAAACTCAAGAGATAGTGAGTCACTTTCTGTCAACTTTAAATAAAACAATTACTTCTATAGGGACAACATTTTGAATGGCACTGTTAAAAAGAGAAGTGGCTGAGAAAAGTTTATCTTTGGGTAAAGGTTGTTGTATTCAATTATTATTTTTTTATTCCCACAGGTGGACCAATCATCACGAAGGACCAGCTGACCTCTCTGCCCCTCGTCAAAGTGGTCCCCCATGGCCAATACTCAGGATCGAAGCTCAACTCTGTGGTCCGCATGATGAGGGGGCTTCTGGAGCAGAAAGTCCCACTGCAAGAATTTGAAGTAAAACTCTAAATTTTAACAGGATCTGTTTGACATTAGTATTTTTTCATCATTTAAAACAAAAAAGCCCCCAAATATGAGAACCTTTCATCCAAACAAATCCAGTACGGATTCTGTACTCTCATTTCCCAAGTTTTTTTTATAATCTACGGTAGATATGCTTTTAAGGTTGTTGGGGCACACATTTCAGTTAAAATGATTTTTAAAGAAATTAAAATGTTTTTCTTTCCTAACAGAATCTTCAGAACCTTCAGCCACTGGATGACTGCTTAATCGGTCAGACTAAAGAGAACAAGAAGAAGAACCGCTACAAGAACATTATTCCCTGTAAGAAAAGCAACACATTTAGCTTCTTGTCATGTGGTCGATATTCTGTATTTTGTTACCGTATTTTCCGCCGTATAAGTCGCATCAGTCCAAAAATGTCTAATAAGGTGGATTAAAACATAAATAAGTTGTACCACCACATCAGCCATAATGCCACATCGCAAAAGCCACATCAGTCCAAAAATGTCTAATAAAGTGGAAAAAAAACATAAATAAGTTGCTTTGTTGTATACGTCTCATCTATTGTGCGTCACCGCTGACGAGTCACGTTTGTTATGCGTTACTACTGACCACCTGAAAAAGTTTGACATAAGACTTGAGGGCCCTCTAGTGGCTGCAAATGGTAATGTTTAATATTTTTCATGTCAGAAAGAATGAAATCGTCAGATCTCAGCCAAAAATTGAGTTATAAATATGGAGAAAAAAATGTATATTAGTCTTTTCGGTGTATAAGTCGCAGGACTTGCAAATTTATGCACAAAGGTGTGACTTGTTTGGCGAAAAATACAGTATTCTGTCACCAAACCAGCTCGACTTACATTATTACAGTAGTTATTATAAATAGTTTTTTGTTTTTTTCCTTCTAGTTGATACAACTCGTGTGATGCTCGGCCAAGACAGAGGTTACATTAACGCTAACTTCATTAACATGCCGGTGAAGGATGAGAACTTCCTTTACATCGCCTGCCAGGGACCCTTACCCACCACACTGGCGGACTTCTGGCAAATGGTCTGGGAGCAGAAGTCCGATGTGATTGCTATGATGACCCAGGAGGTGGAGGCTGGCAAAGTAAAGTGTCAGCGGTACTGGCCAGACACGCCGAGGTCAGCTGAGATGGTGGATGACAGGTTACAGATTACACTAATTAAAGATCAGCATCTGGACCACTTTATCATCCGACTCATCGAGGTGAAAGACATCCAGGTGATCCTTTGGTTGTATGTTAAATTTCTCCTTCAGTGCACGAAGTCAGCCTCGTAACAGAGTTTTCTGTTTTCAGACTAATGAAAGTCAGCTCGTAACTCATCTGAACTACACCGGATGGCCTGACCACGGCACGCCCTCCCAACCTGAACACCTTCTCATGTTTATCTCCTTCATGCGGCACATTCATCGATCGGGGCCGATCATCACGCACTGCAGCGCGGGGATCGGCCGCTCGGGGGCCCTCATCTGTATAGACGTGGTTCTGGGCCTCATCAGTAAAGATGCAGACGTATGTATGAAATACATCATCTTGTTTTGCTGAAATCTTCTAAAAACTAGACGCTAATAAGTTTTTTTTTTTTCCCAGTTTGATATTTCAGATGTTGTAAGAAACATGAGACTCCAGAGACATGGAATGGTCCAGACAGAGGTGATTTTTGTGAATATATTTCCCGCAGTATTTAAATAGTTCATGTGTTTGACTCATGTTTTTACTCATGCACTCTCCCTTCTGTTTTAACAGGAACAGTATATTTTCTGCTATCAAGTCATCCTCTACGTCCTAAGATGCCTTCAAGTCGAAGAAAACGTCTCTGGATAGTACAAACAGCAGTTTGCTGTAATTTAAAGACAGATTGACTTTTTTTTGGTTATAAAGAACAACGCAGAACAAAATGTTGATATGGGCAAGAATTGCCAAATGATGTTTTTTTTTCCTAAAGTTATTTGGTACCATACGAAGAAATCTTTTAAGAAGTTTATATTTTTGTTTATTTTTAAAAACAATTCTGGCTGCTGCTCCCTTTCTGTGCATTTTTAAAAGCTGCTGATTTTACTTATTGTTACACACAAGAGAATACTAAGTTGTTTTTCTTTTTGTGATGTTTTTTTAAATGAATATGAAACGATCAATGATTCCATTAATTTTATGTGGAACTTTTTTGTGTATTTTGATGCTGGAACGTGCTTTGACAAAATACTATGTCAGTATTTGCTATGTAAAAAATCTTTTATACAGTAAATGATAAAACTGCCTGAGGCAAAAAGTAAAGTTAAAATTGTATATATTCATTTCCTGACAATTAAACTGGATGCATTTTGAATGTTATGTAGAGGATGTATTTTGTGCTTTCTTAAAAGTGTTATTTTTGACCATACTTTTACACAATAAATGATTTTTGGGTCAAAGAACAGAAAGAGTTGGAAACGTTCAGTGTGTTTTGCCGTTTGACTGTACAGATACTGCATTTCTGTGTTCAGTGAGAAGACTTTAACATAAAAACTATAAATGATGCAAACAAAACAGGTTGAAGATAACTTCACGACTTTGTGGTGCCAAGTCATGAATGTATCCTTATTAAACTAGCCATGTGTTCACATGTAATTTATAGTATTTTTGAATTTACTGATCAGCTGTGCACTCGCTTTGTTAAATTAAATGACCTTTTTATGTCTGAGGGATGAAAACAGCCAACTGTGGTGATGTGCACAGATAAGTGAAAATCATGCAGAATATGTGATTGTATTTAGAGGAATGTCCCTTTAAAGCACTGTCTTTTTTAATGAAATAGAAAATGAAAAAAAAGCTTAACTTGTAAGATAAGTAAGCCACTAAATCTTTTCAGGTTGTTAGTAATAAAAAGCAAAATAAGTGGTGAAATATATTTTGTTACCTATTACTGAAACATTTGGTTTTTACTCTGCTGCAATTAAGTTTTACATTTACTGTACTCAAATCTCACTGAATCATTAGACATGGAGTTTAAACCAGAACAAGGTCAAATACATCGTTTTGGTTGTTTCCAAGTTTGTCCTTACATGTTTAACTCAAACTGTTGGAGACTTATTCAAAGTTGGTAAAGTTTATAACAAGTTTGTCTTTATTATTTATCCTCCCAGTGATGTTGAGAAAGATGAAAAGAGCTGATTAAATATGAGTTAGAATAATATCTGCTACTTTTTGGGCACAAGTTTAAACTCTGGAATATGAAACGACGTACTTTTAAAGGAGGAAAGACTTTATCAAACTGTTGGAGCATTTCGACCACATTTAAGGAAGAGTTGAGAACGGCAAAAGTTTTGGTCTTTAAAATGAGAAATAAATAGAAATGGTTTAAAACATTTTTAAATGTACAGTGAGTTATTTAAAAATTGCTTTATATTTGTTTCTGTATAGTGCAAAATATTAAAATAAGTAAAAAAAAAAAATGTTAACTCCGTTTTGCGTACAGTTGAAGAAAGCGGAAGCTACTCCAGCCGGCACCGGAAGTGACGTGATTTGTTTAATGGCAGCGCACTGTATCGCCACGCTTCGTTTTTAGAACTACTTTTCCCCTCCTTTTTTTTAAACGTATCTTTATTAATTTGTCACTATGCCCGGGAGACAAAACAACAAACTACCAAACAATTTACCGCAACTGCAGAACCTGATCAAAAGAGACCCGCAGTCTTATCTGGATGAGGTTGGTACTGTTAGCAAACATGCTATGCTGTTAGCTAGCTCAGCTGGTGGACAGTTTTTGAGCTTTTTCTTACGGTTTATTTCTACTGTTTTTTAATAGTTTCTCCAGCAGCACCGACATTATCAGTCCAATGTAGAGATCTTCAAACTGCAGCCTGACAAACCCAACAAGGAGCTGGCAGAACTCGTCATGTTTCTGGCGCAGGTGGGACTTTAAAGTTTAGCTGCTCCTGAGTGCAGCTGAAAGTGTTGCATGTGTGTACTTGAACCTGTTTCCTGCTCCTCAGGTGGCTCACTGCTACACTCAGCAGCTGTCTACACTTCCTCGGGATCTGTCTGAGTTATTGATGAATCACCACACAGTTGTGGAGCCAGATCTACGTATGGTGAGAAGACAGCTACTGCTTCTTCACATCAGCTGTGCATAGAGCTTCACGTGCTTTCTCTGTTTCTCACAGACCCTCTGTAAAGCACTTATTCTTCTGAGGAATAAGAATTTGATCGACCCCTGTGGACTGCTGGAGCTCTTCTTTGAGCTGCTGCGATGTCATGACAAACTGCTTAGAAAGGTCAGGTCTTCAAAGAGTTACCAAATCACTTTTCCTTTGTCAATATGTTTTCAAGCTTAGTTTGTTGTGCAGATGCACTTTAAGGGGTTAAGATAATTTGTCAACTCAGTTTTGTGTTTATGCAGTTGTCTATTTGAACATGTTATACATTTGCATCCTGACAGTCCATATTTCACAGTTTATTCTTTTGCTTCAGAGTTTCATTTACTTTTTCCTCCTTTGCAGACTCTGTACACACACATTGTATCAGATATCAAAAACATCAATGCAAAGCACAAAAACAACAAGGTTAACACAGTGAGTACTCCTTATGTCTGCTTTTGTTTGTGATAATTTGACCTAAAAAACATAATCCCCCATTGACTTGTGTGAAAATGTGTTGCAGACTTTGCAGAACTTCATGTACACCATGCTGAGAGATAGTAATCCCACCGCTGCAAAAATCTCCTTGGATGTGATGGTGGAGCTTTACAAAAGAAACATATGGTGAATTAATAAAAGAAAAACTCTGTTTTTACACAAACGTCTTGTAACTGATTGATACTCAGATCCTGCTGTTTTTATGTTCAGGAACGATACCAAAACTGTTAATGTCATTACAACAGCATGCTTCTCAAGTGTGACAAAGGTATGTTTTGTTTTTTAAATCCTGTTGGAAAGCAACATTTTAAATGTTGGATAAATGGGAAAAAAATATCCTCACCTGACACTTTCCTGGTTTAGATTCTTGTTGGAGGCCTCAAGTTTTTTCTTGGTAAAGATGAAGATGAAAAAAACGAGAGTGATTCAGAATCAGAGGCAAGTACCAAAAATAAAATAATTCTGATTCGGAACAAGAATGTGTTTAAAAAATAATCTCTTGAAGGGTGGTGCTTTAGATATGCAAGAGCTGTATCTAGTGCTGCTGTATAATCCAGTTTAACCTCCTAAGACCCGAACTCTTGCATATGTGGATGCCAGGTCCTAAGAGGTTAATGGAAAAATATATTTTCTTTTGTCAGAATGAGGGACCATCGTCCAGAGATCTGATGGTGAGATACAACACGGGCAAGAAAACCTCCAAAAACAAGAAGAAGCTGGAAAAAGCCATGAAAGTCCTCAAGGTACTACAGTAATAAACTCTTCCAGGGCAGTTTTTAACTCTGTCTGAAATCAGATGAGCTGCTGTCATTTCAAAACCCCTCGTTCTCATACGTTTCCTTGGCAGAAACACAAGAAAAAGAAGAAAGCAGAAGTGTTCAATTTTTCTGCGATTCACCTCATTCACGACCCTCAAGGTAAACTCTGATGCACTGACGTCACTGCAGTTCGAAGTATGATTATTTCTGTTCAACTTTACAGATATATAAAGCGTCAAATGTCTGTCCTCCCTAAGATTTTTCAGAGAAGCTCTTAAAGCAGTTGGAGAGCTCCAAGGAGCGATTTGAGGTGAAGATAATGATGATGGAACTCATTTCTCGCCTGGTTGGAATCCATGAGGTTAGTGATGATGTTTCTGGGATTTATTGAATTAAATCTACATGCTCTCTCTGTCTGGTGGTACTTTTTAAGAGTAACTCTGCTTTGGATTGGGTAAAATGGCCCCATAATTCATTTAAACTCTGTTAATTTTTAGTGATATTGAACAGTAACATAAATGTAACATTTTTGTTTTGCTTTTCTGCAGCTTTTCCTCTTTAATTTCTACCCGTTCATCCAGAGGTTTCTGCAGCCTCATCAGAGAGGTGAGGATGGCTCACAGTAAAGTGAGATCGTTGATGAAGCTGCTTTTTAACTTTGCGCTGCTCGTTTTCGCAGACGTGACAAAGATTCTCCTGTGTGCCGCGCAGGCCTCCCACCAGCTCGTCCCTCCTGAGGTACGTTACACAGTTGCTCTGCAAGCTGAGATTTAACACAGCAGAGTGACGCTGTTGGATCTTTTTTACATCACAGGTAATCGACCCTATGATCATGGCCATCGCCAACAACTTTGTGACAGACAGGAACTCTGGGGAGGCCATGACTGTCGGGTAAGAAGATGACATGTGTACCGTGCATGACTATCGTTACAATTGGAGAAGTATGTTCATTTTCTATTACCTACCATAGTTGTATTTTGCTGTTTTTCCCTTTAGTATAAACGCCATCAAGGAAGTGGTATCCCGTTGTCCGCTTGCGATCACTGAAGAGCTGCTCCAAGACTTGTCCCAGTACAAGACCCACAAAGACAAGAGTGAGAAAATGTTATGTTTTTGTTTTATTGTTAATAGTAAATCATGGTTTGTAGAGTTTTGGCTCATGTTGATATTTACCGACAGTTTTGGCTGTTTTTTTTTTTCCAGATGTAATGATGTCAGCTAGAGGACTGATTCAGCTGTTCAGAAAGCTCAATCCACAGATGCTGCTGAAAAAGGACAGGGTGAGTTACTAGAAGCGCTGGTTTCCTTAAAATGCTCAATATTTTTATAAACAAGTGGTTTTCTGCTGCGTTTGCGTCTCCTGGCAACATGCAAATAAAGAGTGTGAGAAAAATAATTGATTTTTTTTTTTATATGATTTTTTTTATGGATTCATGTGGACTCAAAATACCAAGCTTTTTGAGTTTATTTGTGAGTTTATTACATACATGTCCAATGTCACTTTGTGCCCTTGAAACAAATTCAGCACTCGGGCAGTTTGATGTTTTCTCTTTTTTTCTACATTTGTTTCATTTTATTCTGACCCTGTCACCATTAAACATTGATTCTACACTGAAATGATTAATTTTCTAGGTACATTTTTAAATAATGTCCAAAAACAACAACAAAAAGAAATACGTTACAGTTGTGGGGAAAACATACTGGTAGCTAATAATTTTCTCTGTAGATTAAGGTGTTTTTTTTTTTTTTTAACATTTCCCCCATCTAGTGGCGCATCATGGGTACTGCACTTGTTTTATTAAAGCCATTTGAAAGGATTTATTTTTATTTAGTTTTTTATATATAACTACTTGAAAACTATTCAGAGTTGATGTAGAAAAGAAAATACACACTTCTGCTAGAAAAATAAATAATCTGCTAGTAAATCAAATTTACACTTTTTTTTATTACAATGTGGAAAAATTCTGATTCTTTAAAAATAAAATGGGATGTATGCATGAAATACGCTTTTGAATTTTGAATTCTTGATGTATTGAAAAAATTTGTAAAATAATTTGTTTTATTGAAAACAGACGACTGGGGAAAAAAACAAAGCATAGAATAAAAATAGGAAACTTTGTGTGCCACTTATAACAAAACCAAGAAGATGAACAGCAAAAATAGTTGTTGCATACGTTTCCATTTTTACCACCATCAAATAAAATCCTAAATAATTTCATTTCCAGTTCCAATAACTCACAAAGTTCTCTCTTTTCTTGCAAATCCAAAATGGCTGCATAGGGGAAACCCACAGAGGCGTCAGTAGAAGCCAAAATCAAAGACTATGGAGAGCTTAAGGCCAAAGATTACATCCCTGGAGCTGAAGTCCTGGATGAGGAGGAGGAGAACAAAGAGAAAGAGGACGATGAAGGTCAGCTGCTGCTGTTTTTGAATCCACATAATTGCATGACGCTCACTTGTGGACTGTAAAATACATTTTTGTTGTAACGCTGGGAATACGTGATGTTCATCTGGTATACGTTTCCTTCTTGTTCATCAAAAGGCTGGGAGAGTGCCAGTATCAGTGATGATGATGAGGATGGAGAGTGGGTGGACGTTCACCATTCGTCCGATGAAGATGCAGGAGCCATGGTGAGAATGAAGATACTTGACACTGTGCAGAAACCTGATGCAGTAGCTTTTGTTTTCAGGTGGAACTTCACGTTTTTTTAATCCTTTTCACAAACTTTCATCTACTTTTGAAAGGCGGAGAAACTTCAAAGCATACCAGCTGAGGAAAGGCAAGCCAAGGCGGCAGCAATCAGCAGTAGCAGGCTCCTCACTCAAGAGGATTTTAAGAAAATCCGTCTGGCTCAAATGGCCAAAGAAGTCAACGCCGCTCCAGGGAAGGGCCAGAAGAGGAAAATGGTGGACAGTGATGAAGAGAGCGAGAAGTGAGACATGAAGGAATTACATGATTTAAAAATAATTAGGGATGCACGATATTGGATTTTTGGGCGATATCTGATATGGTGATATATTCAAACTTATTTGACCAATACCAATATTTTTTCCCCTAGACCTACTTACAGAGACTACATAGTTTTCTCTGTTGTGTAATTAAAATACTACATTATTCTGCATGATCTTTGTCAATTTGACCTGCTACCAAATGCAGATTCCAAAAAGGGGCTGAAAATGATGCAACACTTCAACATGGATTATGTTTAATGTCAACTTTATTCTCTTAACACAATGACAACACTCAAACGGTGCAAATTTGTAAATTTTCACACATCTAAACTCAACCTGTTCACAAGTGACAAGTGCATAAGTAGTAGTGCATTAATAGATATACTTGACAGTTACTTAAATTAAAAATGAACTTAAAACATAAGTCTTTTATATCTGTGAGTTATTTTGATGGAATGGCCGATGTCCGATATTTAACTTTATCGCTGATATTGGCCGATAATATCATGCATCCCTAAAAATAATGTTTTTTCTGTCGGTTTTCTAGATTAACTTTCAATGTTTCCCATTTCCTTTTTGTTTCTCGTATCTCAGAGGGGAGCTGATTACACTGAGAGACATCGAGAAACTGCATAAAAAACCTAAATCTGACAAAGAAACACGACTGGCAACAGCCATGGTAAAATCCTACAATTAGATTTTGATTCTATTCTTTTTTTCTATTAAATCAAGGGCTTATTACTGTCAGATATCATTCATAGCCATCACTAAACTAATGAAATGTAATAGTTCTACCGCCGATGTGTTTGATTTGTAGGCTGGACGTACCGACAGAAAGGATTTTGTTAAAAAACATACAAAGTTAAACCCCCACGCTAGCACCACCAACAAGGAGAAAAAGAGAAAGAAGAACTTTGTGATGATGACACACAGTCGGAACGTTCGAACTAAAGGCAAACGCTCCTTCAGAGAGAAACAGGTAACACGTGTACTTTCTGCGTTTGACTCTGACTAAATAATTTTGACTAAAAATATTAAGGCTGCTTTTTGTTTGTTTGTCTAGTTGGCTCTACAGGCGTCCCTCCTGAAGAAGAAGAAGCATAAGTAGGACTTGAGGGCCTCGTGCTGCCTGTCAGACGGATTTCATAAACATGAACTTTGACCATGTCAAGATATTGTACATTCTTTAAGTGGCTTGTAAACTTGGAATTTTCCATTTATTGGCAATTTATCTACATTTCCTCTTCTTTGAAATAAATCATCGTTTCTAACTGTACATGTTTGTTTTACACAAGTTTAGTTTTGACTCCAGCTTTAAGCTATTTGCCAGAATTTATCTGTAAATACATGCAAGAACTCACGTACTGAGACTTTTGCCCCCCTTCTTTTATACAAACATAAAATCTAAATGAATTCAACCTCTTAGGATTTCTTGTTTGCAAGTTGTAGCAGGAAATTTACAGGTGCCACTCTGAAATACAATAAAGACACTTCCTCCAGGGTGTAAAGGTGTTACGGTATAATTTTGCAAGGTTTTATAACACAATATAATATTTATTACACCTTTACCATTTCCTTAATGTGTATTTTTCATTGGGGACTGAATTCATTTGTTAGTGTTATGTACAGAAAAAAAATCAGTCATATTAAGGAGGGGGGGGAGGTGGATAATTGCAGTCATTTTTGTGTACTTTTAGAATGCAACTGTGGCCATGATGTTCCTAATGATCCTAGAGAAATAAAAGTTTTTAAATTGTTTTTTGGAGAACTGTAACTTGGTATTCGAGTTACAAAAGCTAATAATCATAAGCAGGTAAGCTATTTGGTGTTTATGACTCTTTACCAGAATCAAAACTTGTGTTTATTTTTTATAAAGTATATAGAAACATGTTTGATTTAATTTAATCACATTATCTACTTAAAATTGAAACGCCTCCTTTGGACCACGTGACCCCCTCCGCTGAGAGGAGGCTCCTCCTCCTGCTGACGTCAGACCTGACTTTGGACACCGGCATTTTAATTTTTTTTTATTGCGACATGAGGTATGTAACAATATATCTACATTCGCGAAACGATTCCCCAACGTTTAAATTTAATTCTTACTCTTCTGTGTTTTGTTTTTGTCATATTTAAAGTTAAATCCTCGCCATTTCCTGTCAGGCAGCGTTTGACTGTCATGCTGTTAGCAAACAAGCTAAATCCACCGTTAGCCTGGTTAGCTGTATTCATATTATTATTATTATTATTATTAACGTGGAAAAGCATCAATTTAGCTGCTTTTTAATTATTGAAAAAGCATGTCTTTTAAACGCTTTGTTAACAGTGCGTCAGCTAATTTAAATAGTACTCTATACACAATAAACCTTATGTGGGATTTAATGTTTTGATTAAATAATTTAACCATCGTTATGACGCATATTGAATTAGTTGTCATATATTTCACTACTTTTTATAATTGTAACACTCTAGTAATCTTAAGCGTTTTAACAGTTTTTGCTTTAGGTTTACTGTAAACGTGGTTGCTAATTATTATTTAGGGATGCTGAGTTTTACATCTAGCCTGTTTTATTTGGGATCCCAGTAAAAAAGAGTTAGTTTGGTTACTATGACTGGAATATCATTTAATGTTTATAATGTTCTGTACAAGGCATAATAATGCAAACAACAAAAGTCATTATTATGGCAGATTGTCACTGGTTTGGTTTTGTTGCTTCAAAAACCTTTTGAACATGTTTGCATATGAAATGGGAATAAACTCAAGGCTAGGATTTGGACACAAATTAAATCATACATTTAATTAAAATAGATAAATGACATTTCAGCTTTAAGTATCCTCAATTACATTTATGGTTTAAATAGTTACCAAATAAAAATACATTCTTCAGATCAGCTTAGCATATGATGGTACTCTGCTGGTGGAAAGTTTATGACACTTTATTTCCCAGTATTTTATGTTTTCATGTTGTCAGAATAGAAGCTGGGAAAATATTTACCAGCTTTGGGGCCTTTGGAGTGCACCCCCCCTCCATGGGATTAGTGAAGATGGTGATGGATACTCTCGGATGCATAAATAAGATTTAGTTTTTCAGTTGGAACATAGCAGAGTTGAGTTTATTAAGTTTAAGTCACTCCACTTATTCTTTGTAGATATGATAGAAAAGTGATGTGCAGGGTTGTTTGTTGTTTTCCTTAATGAATTATGTGTAATCTCCAGATGTGATTAGCTTTAAAAATGGGGTCTACAGATGGAGGCCTTTGTGGTGTATGTGGTGGGACTGTGTGTTTTCTGCTCCCTGACATGACTAGTGATGAGGGCTGATACACTGCGTCTTTTCAGTGTTTGAGTCAAAGATACAATCTGTTATCTGTGAGGTGTGGGTGAAGCTCTGGCCTCTGAGCTGCTTATCTGCTCTCATTCAGTCTTCTAAAGACTAATCAAGTGAGGAGATTTTCCACCAGCTTCAGCAGCAGGTAGGATTTGTATTTTTATTTTTTTTTTGCTTGGTGAAAACTAGCTGTTTTTCTACACATTTGGTCTTTGCAGAGAGAGAGAGATGTGACACAAAGGAGACACTGGCTGAACTTTCATAGTTGGCAGGCAGCATCTGCCTCCACTGTTTCTCTTTTTGTCTACATTTATTAGCACTTATGATTATTGGAATAAGTTGGAATGACATTTATGATATATTTTCACTGTTAAAGTTAAACATGATTGTAAAATGTAATCTAGAAAGGGAATAAAATACATTTACCCTACTTCTTTTCAATCAAAAGCTGCCCAATTGTATCAACGAGTGCAAAGTGCAACATTACGATCTTCCACTTTTAATTTATCACTACTACTCACTACCACTACAGATTAATCACAAGCACTTTTTAGCACTGTCTTGTTGTTGTGAAACCTTCATTCAAATAAAAAAAAAAATAGCTTTAGTAACTTGATTAATCAATGAAAGCTATTTCACAGTAAATGTTTGGAATAGTCAATATATTAAAATACACGTTTCACAGAGGACTTCCAATCAGTTAAAAAATAAAATGAGTCAGAATGATCATATTGTATTAAATAATATGTACAAAACTGTTTGAACCACATGAGAATACACCAAACAATCAGCAAAATATTGATCATAAAATAAAGATACTGTTTTAATCCGTGCACCTGAGCAGGAAGTAAAATAGGTAACAATCTGAGACCAAAATACTTTTTGAAACCAAATCACATTTTTAAATCTGTTTAAAAAAACATTTTAAATGGTTCAGGTACTAGAATCAGAAGTGTATCTGGTGTTCAATCTGCAGAGTTTATGGTGCAAAATCCACATCACTGTTTGGACTGTAACCCAGTTCCAACAGTGAGGAGGTTTATCTTCTGTCCCTGACCGTTTTAAGTGATAATTATAAAAAGTCAGCGCCATGTTTAAAATGTTTTAAGATGTTCTGCTGAGCCTTAAAAGTAGATGGAGGTAAAGTTCATTCGATGTAAGAGGGATTTAGGTAGTGACAGAAAGACTACAGTTTTATGGAGGAAATTCTAAAACTGAAGTCTTGATGACTTAATTTCCCTGACTTAATTTCCCAATCGTAGCCTTAAAGGTTTAACAAAGTGTATGAAATGCTGAGTAATCCACACGATTATACAATAAGCTTCTCATTTAAAGAGTCTAAAGTCATTGATTGTTTTCTTTCTAGTTATCCTTGTTCAAAAGATAAAATGAAAATAAAAACCAAACAAAATAACAAACAGGTTAAAGTTGACCGTTTGTTTTTGAAGGCAATTTCATTTTTTTTAAATCTCGTTTTATGTATACAGGTTTAATATTACAATTTTTTTATTAAAGTTTATAAATATGACAGATTTTTGTCAAAGAGCTAACACAAATTTAACTTTTAATATAGTTTTGGCAAATAACGTTGTAGTTTTTCTTATTGCCCACTCTTGCATGCTGAGGATTTGTTTCCTCGTCTTTCCTGCAGGGTTGATTTCCTGTAGCCCACCATGGCACCAGGGGATGTGGTGCCAGATCATGCCAAGCAGCTGAAATCCAAGGAGAAGCGTCCGGGAAACAGGGCGTCCAAAGCCGAATGTGAACCTGACGGATCATTTATCTTTGAGGCCCATGAAGCCTGGAAGGACTTCCATAACTCCCTCAGACATTTCTATGAAGTTGGAGAGCTCTGTGACGTCACACTGAAGGTAAACTTCTGTCATACAAAGAAACAAAAGAACATCATTGTTCGATTTTCTGTGATTTTTGATTACAAAATGTTTTGTGGTTTAGATATTTCTTCCTTAACATTTCTAATCCCGTGACTTTTCTGTTGAAAAGGTCTCAGTACTTATATTTTATGTGAAAATCTTCCTTTTTTTATCTGTTTTGTTGTTTTTTTATTCTCTTTATAGGTTGGCAGTAGACTAATACCATGCCACAAGCTAGTACTTGCTTGTGTCATCCCTTACTTCAGGTGTGTAATATTTGTTTATTGCTTTTATTGTTAACTTTAAATTTTCATGGATTTTCGAAACCCTTTGGTCTGTTATATATTTGATGCATGATCAACAACATGACCACACAAATGCCAGTGTCATCAATGAAATGATGTTTGATATAAGTAATCTTTATGGTCTAAATGTAAATATTAAAGGAACGAGTGCTATAAAGCATTTGCTGATGTTTTCCTACATAACCCTTAGCTAACGAAAGCAGATTTATTTCAATTTTAAGAAGCTGTTTCAATCATGGTGAACTCACTATTTCATCTTGTTTTAGAAGTGTTTATTTTGTGTTTGTTCAGGGCAATGTTTCTATCAGACATGTCGGAGGCTAAACAGGAACTCGTAGAGATTAAGGACTTTGATGGAGATGCCATCCAGGACCTGGTACACTTTGCCTATTCCTCTAAACTCACTCTAACTGTGGACAATGTGCAGCCGCTGCTGTATGCCGCCTGCATCTTGCAGGTAAACCAACAGTCTCTTAGCCCGTGCCAATCTCCAAATATTAGCAAAACATTTTATTTGTAATACAGATTTCAGAATGTTGCAATTAGCTGCATTTCTTAATTGTTAGGTTGAGTTGGTGGCCAGAGCCTGCTGTGAGTACATGAAGGCCCATTTTCACCCCACCAACTGCCTGGCTGTTCGAACCTTTGCTGAGAGCCACAACCGTGTGGATCTGATGGACATGGCTGACCGTTACGCCTGCGAGCACTTCACTGAGGTGGTGGAGTGCGAGGACTTCACCTGTGTGTCGCCCCAGCACTTGCACACCTTATTGTCTTCTAGTGACCTCAATATCCACTCAGAGACGCAGGTGTACAACGCAGCAGTGAAGTGGCTGAAAGCAAACCCACAGCACCACGAAGCCTGGCTCGACCCAATTATGTCTCAGGTTAGAAAATACCTGTTTAATGGTTTTATTGTTTTTGTGAAGTTAGGCTAGCCACAGGTTAGAGAAGGCGAGCATGTGACCGGAAGGTCGCCAGTTCGACCGCCCGGACCGACATCAGAAATGTGGGTGAGAAAGGTGGAACACCAACACCTGCCTCCACCCTCATTTGCCCCACTCTGGGCCCCTGAGCAAGACTGCTCCCCTGGGTGCCCTAGATAGCAGCTCTCTGCTCCACACAGAGGGCTGTGGTAGCATCAAGAAGGGTATCCGGTGTAAAAACAATCGTCAAGTCTTCGTGCAAGTTAGTTCGCTGTGATGACCCCTGAGGAAGGGAGCAGCCAAAAATAATAAAAGGCTAGCCAAGTTTACTCATTATCTGAACGTTTACCTTTATAACTGTTGGGCCTGTCACAAGAAATAAATCAATTAATCGCATGATAAATGAAAATTATCAACCACATTTTCATTTATCGACTATCGGTTTTTTGTGTCTCTCTTTCTGAAGACACGTTGACAAAAAGCTCAACTCCGGTGTTCTTCACTGATCCCTCCTTTTCTCTAAAATCTATTTTAACCATCCAAAATCACATTTTTGAATCGTTAAAAGAAGCTAAGCTGAGAAGCTAAGCTACGAGCTAAGCTAACAGGCCGACCTTGGGAAAAAACCTCGGTCTTGTCGAAGCTCCAAAATTCACGGTTGAAACCCGTGCCTTTGTGTAAAAAGTTTTTCCTCTGCAAAAAGAAGCTGAGAACTTTTTTAAAAGCTTTGTGTGAAAAATGCTATGCTAAAGAGCTCAAACCACGCCGAGCATCCGCCATTTTGAGAACTGAAGAGAGACAGCCCATGTCACTGTCAAGGGGCCTCCCTCCCATTTAGCTTAAAGAGACGCTGCTCGCTCCCTTATCCATCCTTCAGTTCCGTCAGTCTTATACTGCCATCCGGTGGTCGAAAAAAGGTACTACATGCAAAACAAATAAACATTTCTTCTTAAATTTGACAATAATTACTAATTATTGTCAAATTTCAAACGATATTATCGTTTATTGCAATAATTTCTGAGACAATTAATCGCCCAGCAAAATGTGTTATCGTGACAGACATAATAACTGTGTATTAGTGTTGTGTAAGTTCACAGCTTCATGTGAGCTCTTTGTTGCCCGTATGGCTGTCTGACCTTCAGGTGCGGCTCCCGTTGCTTCCAGTAGACTTTCTGACAGGAACAGTTGCTAAAGAGGAGATGATCAAAGCTAATCTGAGCTGTCGGGACCTGATGGATGAAGCCAGGAACTACCACCTGCACCTCAGCAACAAGGTGGTTCCAGACTTTGAGTATTCGGCGCGCACTATCCCCCGAAAGCACACTGCAGGTACTCTGCTTATATGACGGTGTTTTGTTTTGATCATGAAACTTTTAACGGCATAAAAACATTCAGCGATTTATTGAGCTTTTTTTTTTCTTCTTGTTCCATCTTTTTCTTCTGTCGGACTTCTTCTTTAGGCGTTCTGTTCTGTGTGGGAGGCCGGGGAGGTTCTGGTGACCCTTTTCGCAGCATCGAATGCTACTCCATCACTAAGAACGTCTGGTTCTTTGGTCCTGATATGAACAGCAGACGACGTCACGTGGGTGTAATATCTGTTGGAGGTGAGGGGGGTTTCATGTGAAACACTGTAGAAACTAAATGTAGAGTCTAGAAGATGAGCGCCATGAAACTCTGACACATGTGACTACAATGATCACAGCGTACAGGTGCATCTCAAAAACTTAAGACTATTGTGAAAAAGTCCAATATTTTTGGTCAATTACTTCAGAAAGTAAAACTCATTACACAGAGTGAAATATTCATCCATCCATCCATCCATTTTCTTCCGCTTATCCGGGGGTAGCAGCCTAAGTAGGGAGGCCCAGGCTTCCCTCTCCCCAGCCACTTGGGCCAGCTCTTCTGGGGGAATCCCGAGGCGTTCCCAGGCCAGCCGAGAAACATAGTCCCTCCAGCGTGTCCTGGGTCTTCCTCTGGGCCTCCTTCCGGTGGGACGTGTCCGAAAAAAATATTAATTTAACCTTTATTTATACAGGTTAGTCTCACTGAGTCACAAGGACTCATTTCAAGCCTTTATTTCTTGTCATTTTGATGATGATGTCTGAAAAGTGTTAGAAACTCGTGCACGCTGTGCACAGACAAATCCTGGACATGAGCTACACATGTCTCATTCCTCAAGTCCAGCCACTCCTGAACTGGAGACAACATCAGAAGAGTCTTACCTGCTGAGGAGTCAAAGAACTGGACTGTTGTTCATTGGTCCAATGTCCTCTTTTCAGAAGAAAGTAAATGTTCTTGTCATTTGAAAATCAAGGTCCCAGAGTCTGGAGGAAGAGTGGAGACTGAGGAACAGAATCCATGTTGCTTGAAGTCCAGAGTGAAATTTTCACAGTCAGTGATGGTTTGGGGTGCTGTGTCACCTGCTGGTGCTGGTCCACTGAGTTTTCTGAAGCCCTCAGCAGGTAAGGCTCTTCTGGCTTCTCTGGTTCAGGAGTGTCTGGACTTGAGGAACGAGACTTTTGTAGCTCATGTCTAGAGTTAATAAGCTGATTAGGTGCAACTCCAGGAGTTTACAATGTGGAATGTTTTCACAATATTCTAATTTTCTGAGACACCAAATTTTGTTTTTTTCATTATTTGTAAGACATAACCATTAAAATGACAATAAATACAAGCTTGAAATAATTTACTCTCTGTGTCATGAATCTATGAGTTTTACTTCCTGAAATGACTGACAAAAATATAAAAAATTTTCACTACATTTTTGTTTTTTTAGGTGTACCTGTAATAATGAAAAACACCAGGAAGACAAACCCATTTGTATGTTTTGATGTTTTTTTTTTTTTATTATTTTCTAGGTAAAGTTTATGCTGTTGGAGGTCATGATGGTAACGAACACCTGGGGGACATTGAGATGTTTGATCCACTCACTAACAAGTGGATGATGAAAGCTTCTATGAATACTAAAAGGTACACACAATCTAGTGAAGCATATTAAGATCTGTTTTATTGCAGTCATTTTGTTAGAATTGGGTCAGATTGATAAATTATTATGCCCCCCCCCCCATCTTGTGTATCTTTGACATTGTGTAAATGGCCCCATCATCTGCATGTTTTTCAGGAGGGGAATAGCCCTGGCAGCTCTTGGTGGTCCAATTTATGCTATTGGAGGTCTGGATGACAATTCCTGCTTTAATGATGTAGAGCGTTACGACATTGAACGCGACAGCTGGAGCGCTGTGGCTCCGATGAACACACCCAGAGGAGGGGTTGGATCTGTGGCATTGGGGGTATAAGATATTTTGGAGGAAAAAGGCGAATAAATATTTAAATCTGACAGTAAATTGTGGGGGGAAATGACATGATTTCTGCCTGCACCCTGTCAGAGTTACGTGTATGCTGTTGGAGGAAATGACAGCGTGGCGTCTCTCTCCAGCGTGGAGAGGTTTAATCCTCACCTCAACAAGTGGCTGGAGGTCTGCGAGATGGGCCAGAGACGAGCAGGCAACGGAGTCAGCAAGCTTAATGGCTGCCTCTATGTAGTGGGTGAGAGGAATGTGATGACCTGTCATGTTTGTCTCTTTTGTTGGAGCCATAAACAAGTCCAAGTTGTGCACATTGGTGCTTTCTGATACACCCACATCACATGCTTCAAGTCCCGTCAGTTCTATATACAAAGGTGTGAATCGACAAATGTTCATGTTTTGTAAAGTTGTTTGCTGATTCACAGAATTTAAGGGTGAGATGTTTATTGCTCAGCTTGAATTTGACAAGCCTTCAGCATTTTTGTGCCGAGTCATAGTAAACTGAGGTGACAGTAAACTCAAATTATTACACAATTTTAATAGCTTCAAGTCAAGTTATTCCACATGTAGTAGCTTATATTTTCCACAAGTCATTGTAATATTTTTTTAAACATTGTCTTTTTGATGAATTTCTAAAGGTGGCTTTGACGACAACTCCCCTTTGAGCTCCGTTGAGCGTTTTGACCCTCGAATGCACCGCTGGGAGTACGTGTCGGAGCTCACCACCCCTCGAGGTGGAGTCGGAGTGGCCACGGTGATGGGGAGAGTGTTTGCAGTCGGGGGGCATAATGGAAACATTTACCTGAACACAGTGGAGGCTTTTGAGCCTCGAATGAACAGGTACATGTCCAAAATATAACAATGCTTACATTAAAATAGCTGAAATATACAAGTTTTTAAACAGTGGCACAGCTGTAGCAATTTTTTTTTGTTATACCCTCTATTAAATCATTTTTTCCCCCACATTATACATTTATGAGCAAATAAAGCTGCTAAAGGAACATTTATTTTAGCTGTAAAGTCTGCTGCGTCCTTCCATAATAAAAGACTCAATGGCTTCAAACTGGGAGGGTATCAGATTAAATAACCCAGGTGTTGCAGCTCAGCTCATGTAAACTGATCCATCAGCTGCTGTCCTGGACAGATTATACGGTGCGCGCCTTTGGGCCCTGCCTGCACCTCATCTCCTTTAAATGCTCATTTGTTTTGTTCTGATGTCTGCCATTAATGTTGCCCTTCTAACCATAAGGCTCAAAATGATTCAGATAAAGCCACGCCACCAAATTCTAATAACTGTCATAACAACCAGTGAAAGTATTTATGTTTTTTACTTGTGGTCCTGACCAGTTAGAATAAAATTACAGTAATCTTGTGTTTAGAATTATTTTACGATTGTTTTCTGTGTCAGTTATTTTACGGACAATCAGCATTACTGTATGGAGAGCCATTTCATTCAAAATTAAATAAATAAATACATAGTTATTTTAAAAATTATTAATAAATATTCCATTAAATAAATAAATGTTCCCATGAAATAAAACATTTAAATAGAAATGTTTAGTTTTTTTTCCCCCAAGATTTTTTTTTTAATTTATTTCAATATTTATTTATTTAATAATGGAGTTTCATTTTGTGACACTTTTATTTTGTAAAGCTACTTTACATATTTCAGGGGCTTTTATTTTTTATCCCCGTTTTTCATTTTATGCTCTTTTTATTTCATGTTCTTATATTCAAATGAGGGGGCGGGGTTTGCTCTGTGGGGTGGGTCTGTTCAGGATTAGTGGATTGCATCTGATTCGCAGAAACTGACGTACTCCAGTCTTTTTTGACCAATCACAGCAAAGTATTCCCCCCACTGAGCGCTGCTTGGTCCAACCACCTTCAAATCATGAATTAACTTTGTTCAGAAAGTCAGGATGACAAACAAACAATATGGAGGACACTGGAGAACTCCGAGATGAAATGCAAAGGTTTGCTAATGAAATTGTGCATTATATATTTACATTATATTTACATCCCCCGTTGTAATCCAGGGCGTGATTCAGTTGCAGTGTGGACACGAAGTGGAGCGGGTCTCGTCTCTGCTGAGAGACTGACAGGTGTCAAAGCTTGGGGAAGTGGGAGGGGCTTACGGCACGCTGAGGACAGGACTTGTCGAACGAGTGGTGCTTTCACTTGTAGTCACCAAAGTCTCCAGTAACACAAAGAAAAAAAGTAGATTTGTCATTAGTCTCTTTTTTTAATTTTTTTTTTTAAGTCGCTGGAGGTGTCTGAAAACTCACTAAATAAAGCGAGAAAGTCGCTAAGTTGGCAACACTGCAGCCGTGTCCGCTACTGTGTAGTGAAACATTATGTTGCATATTGGTTCCTCTTCAAACAAGGGCCTGTGTGTGTGTTTTAAAATGAAAAACTGGGTTAAAAAATAAAAGCCCCTGAAATATGTAAAGTAGTTCACAACATAAAAGTCACAAAATGAAACTCCATGATTAAATAAATAAATAAATCTTGAAATAAATAAAAAAATAATCTGGGGGGCAAAAAACTAAATGTTTTTATATTTCAATGTTTTATTTCATGGGAACATTTTTTATTTAATGGAATATTTAGTAATAATTTTAAGCAACATTATTTATTTATTTAATTTTGAATGAAATGGCTTTCCTTATTACTGTACATTAATAGTGCTTTATAAAAGCGAAACATTTTACTAACGCTCTGGAGACACTTGGTGTATTTCCAAGCTTTTGTAACATGTAACGGACTGGAGTACTGGTCAGATCATTATTCTCCATCATCATATTTGTGTCTTCATAATTTCCTTGTGATCATTTGTGTGTGTTTGTCCCAGGTGGGAGCTGGTGGGCTCCGTGTCTCACTGCCGTGCCGGAGCCGGAGTTGCTGTGTGTTCGTCTCACATCAGCCAGATCAGAGACGTCGGTCAGGGCTCCAGCAATGTGGTCAACTGCATGTGATGACACCCCCCCCACACACACACACACACACACACACACACACATTTAACCAGGCCACCGTGGGATCTGATCACCGCACAAGCACAGAGCACACATGGAGTGGTGGTATTACTGGAAACGGTGGATTTTGGCCGACTCAGCTGATCTGAGAAAACTCAGACTTGAAATCTAAAGTTACTCATGTTGTTTGCAATCTTTGAAGTATTTTGTACTGTATTTTTGTGCGTCTGTTTTGACTGTTTTAAACTGACAGTAATATCTGAGCCTCTATTATAAGACAAACTTCCTGAGAATGAGTTGAGAGCTCCATTTAGGAACCGGTGTGAAAGTGTTTACGTTGCCTCTAGTTTGTTAGATGTAGGAAGTTTGACACTCGTACCAGATTCATTACCAGCCTGAGTGCTTAAAGCATTTTTAAGCTGAAGTGAGACATAAACATGCACATTTATATCTTAACTTTTACTCCTGTTATACTTCAGAATAGGTGAAAATGTCTGATACACTTTTTAATGTTATGTTTAAGAAATTTTCAGCAGATCCGGCTGTTTTTTGGGGTTTTTTTGGCATTAATGTGTTTGAATAGTCAAACTAATCTGTCCTCACATGGGACATTTCTACTCGGGGAAACACTCCTGCAAGTGCCAAACTGGACAAAATTAATCCAACTGCCTGCTGAGTTCACTCCATTTACCTCAGCATCATTACTGTAAAAAGGTGTCAGGCAGATATCGAAGCAATACGATGCACCTCTTCACTCCTGCCCCGTTTTTACGATTGAACTGTTGAAACTGAAAAACGAACTTTAAAATGTAAGAGCTGTGAGCATCGGTAGCTGGGCCGTCGGAAATCCCAATCAGATGTGCAGGAGATTCAGGGCATGTTTGTGTTTGCTGATGGTTCCATTATATTTCCGTTTTTGTATAAACTGTGTTTGATACAACTCATCACTATAATACCTGTTGCTGTGCACTATTTTCATAGAATAGATGTAAAGTCTAAGTATATTTTTGTCCAAGTTGGAGATTTTCATGTTATAACTTTAAGATGTTTATTAAGCTGGACTAGTTCTGCCAAATTAAAGAGCAAAATATTTATATTCTCTGGCAACGGTTGACATTTTCAGAAAAAAGGATGACTAAAACATAAATGGTATTTGCATTTTGATAGAAGATGCATATTGCACAGTTTAGTGCCAGTGGTAAACAAAAACAATCATTTTTATAGAAGTTTGTCTTTTCTAATGCAGATGTAATGCAAACTTAGTGATGTTTGTTCTGTCTGTTTTATTTACATGCTCTAAGTTTGTTCAATAAAGTTATGTGCAAATATTTATGCATTCTTCAGTTTCTGTTCATTTTGACTTCCAGTCCGAACATTAAAAAATTGGATCATTTGTAACATAGTGATACTTTAATCATAAAAAGTAATCAATGCTGCATTTACAGTTACGCGTGACTTTTTCCTCTCATTGAAGTTTCTGTAGAAAACGCATAAAACAGGAACTTATCCTGCGGTGCCAGACATCTGCTGACCTGTACAGCAAATAAACAAATTGATCAGCCTCGAGTGTTTTGTAACGTACTATTAAACCACGTTAAAATGTAACGATCTGAGGTAGAAGCTGAGCAGTATAAGTTTACTGGCAGCGGACATGTGGTTGTTGTAAAAACGCTCTTCTGGACTTTATAATTTTGCTGTCAGGTGGTAAATACTCATTAAAGTTTCCAAAAGCACCAAACAGTTGCACAATGTGTGTAGAAAAACACCTTGTCATTCAAGAAAAAAATAATAATTATGGTTAAATGGTGAATATGTACCCTCTGACATGACATCTTGAGACATGTATAGATATAATTTATTTATTTTTAGTTCTGATCTTAAAGTCATCAATTGAGCACAGGTATTTCATTTTAAAGCTCTGAGTGCGTTTTATTCCTACTTAGAAATAATAATTTGAATAGTTCAACAAGGAACAATGTTAATGTTAGATGATGTTGGAGAAAGAATAACGTTGGATTTCAAAAAATAGAAAATTTGTACTGTAACAAAAATTTGTGCTTTTTTTAAAAAAAAATTACGCGACAATCTAAAAGGCAAGAATACAATTTATTGCAGTATATTATTGTAAAGTGATGTGTTTTCACTCTAGATAATAGGTGAAGTGTGCATGCGTGCATTTTTTTTTCAGGTTACACTGTGGGGACCAACTGCTCCTTATGGGGACCAAAGCCAGGTCCCCATAACGAAGTCTCGTTGGGGGGTTAGGTTTACTAGTAGTTGCCTAGTACTAGTTTACCATTACTAGTACTAAAAGTAATGGTGAGGAGACTGACTCCAACATCTTCTGTGCAGCCTTCACCACTCTCTGCAAAGCTTTTCTTTCTGCAGCTGTGCAGCCTCCATGCCACACGTTGATGCTCGAGCACAGGATGCTCTCCACTGCACACCTGTAGAAGGAGGTGAGGACTGAGCTTCTCAGACCAGCTCGTCTCAGCCGTCTGAGGAAGTAGAGTCTCTGATGAGCTTTCTTCATCAGGCTGGTGGTGTTGTTGCTCCAGCTGAGGTTGT